AGGAACTAAAACCCCAAAGGGCTCAAGTTTCTTCTCCTTCTCCCTCAGATCTGTGGGAATACAAAGGAATTCATGGAATTGCAGAACAGCACCGGAAACGCTCCCTTTGGAAGCTCAAATCCTGCTTTTCCCGGGAGCCTTTTTGGAGTTAAAGAGAAACAAAGGAATGAGCAAAGACACCAAAAAACCCTTGGAAAAGTTCCCCTTGGATCCAGAGCTCCAAATTGGGATTCTCGGGATGCTCCTGGAAGTCTCCAGGGGCCAGAAATCCTTGGAAAAGCTCCCTCAAATCTGGATCCAGAACCCCAAAATGGGACATTTGGGATGTTCCTGGAAGTTCTGAGGCGCCCTTGGAAAATTTTCCCTGAGCTCGGATACAGAGCCCCAAACTGGGACGCTTGGGATGTTCCCAGGAGCCGTTGGAAAAGCTCAATTGAGCTGGGATCCAGAGCCCCAGGCTGGGAAATTTGGGATGTTCCTGGGAGTCTCCAGGAGCCAGGACCCGTTGGCAAAGCTTCTCTGAGCTTGGATCCAGAGCTCCAAACTCAACATTTGGGATTCTCCTGGGGATTCACTGGGAGTCCTCGGCAAAGCTTCCCTGAGCTCGGATCCGGAGCCCCAGACCAGGACCAATGGGATGTTCCTGGAAGTCCCCAGGAGCCAGATCCCTTTGGAAAAGCTCCCCCTGGCTTGGCTACGGAGCCCCAAAACCTCGGAACTCTCCTGGAATCTGCCTTGGAGATTATCAGTGCCAAGGAAAACTCTGGGAAAAGCTGGGAAGCCGTGGCTGGGATTTAGCTGGAAAAACCTTTGGGATGGGCAAAGCTCCCACAGTTCTGGACTTGGAGCCTCCTTCCAAATTCCAGAAGGAAGTACAAAGTTCTACCTGGGAACGATCTGGACAGATCCTGGGACCTCCACATCCCCAATTCCTGGGAATTAAACCGTGATCAGATAGTTCCGATTGGCCGGAAAAGACAAAGGGATTTTGGGATGTTTGAGATGCTCCTGGTGAGTCCCAGGGGTTGGGAAGATGGATCCAATCAGGATTATGGATGGCAGGAACCCAGCAGGGTGTCCCGGGCACAGGACAGGGGGACGCAGGACAGGAACGTCGCGGGAATTTTGTGGGAATGCTGCCTGGAGCGCTGGAGCAGTGAATCCGGAGCTGGAGCTGGCTGCGGGCATGGAATGTGGCTCCCGGAATTCTGGGAATGGCCGTGTCCCCAATGACACACACACACCCGTCACGGTCACCGACAGCTTTATTGGGGACACGGATGTCACACGCGGAACGCGCTCGGCCTCGCGCGGCTCCCGGCAGCGGGAGCAGCTCTGGCACATCCCGAGCCTCTCCCACAGCTCAGCGGGGTTTCCCAGGATCCCGGGCTTTTCCAGGATCCTGCCACTGCTCCAGGAATCCCAGACAGGAATTCCAGCCAGGGCAGGGAGCAAGAGGGGATCGCCTCGAGGTGAAGTTGGATTTTTGGGAAAATTCCTTCCCGAGAAGTTGATGGAGCGCTGGAATGGGATGCCCAGGGAAGGGGTGGAGCCCCCATTCCAGGCGGGATTCGAAGCCGTGTGGATGTGGCACTTGGGGACACGGGGCAGTGCTGGGCACGGTTGGACGTGGCGGGATGAGAGGGATTTTCCCACCTCAACAATTCCAGGGTTTTGGGTTAAACGCGAGGAAGCTGCTCTTGGACACGGCCACCAAGGGCCACCACGGATGAAGGGAAGTTGTCCCCTTGCTCCGCTGCCATTGTCACCGTCCCGGGTGTCCCTGGTCCCGGGATTGTCACCGCCAGTGGCCTGAACGGTGACCTGACGTTCCCACTGTCAGAATTCCTTGGGCTCTTTCCCAGTCCCTCGGCTCAAAGGTCCTTCCGTGGACGCCCGGCTTGGGAGGAGACAGAGCCGGAGTTAGAGCTCGGGGAAAAATCCACGGATTGGGGCCTCCCGGGGTTCCCAGGGAGCATTCCCACAGGGATCGGCCAGGGAAAGGTGCCGGGCACTGCTCTGGAGCAGGGAATTCCCTGAGCTTGCACGGAATTGCTGGGAATTCAGGATGAATGTGGGGAGGAAGGAATTCCAGGATGATTCCCAAATCATTGGCAGCTGCTCCAGCAATCCCATGGATCCAGAGCTGCTGGAAGGATCAGGGATGGGAACATCCATGTCCCCGTCTCTCTGGGACTCCAGGTCACCTCAGTGTCCCTGTTCCTTGTGGAATTCCAGGACCCCTCAGTGTCCTTTTGGGATACTCCAGGTCACCTCAGTGTTCCCCTCCATCCCTGCAGAATTCCAGGGTCCCATCCCTCTGGGTGCCCAGGACACCTCAATGTCCCCATTTGCAGCTCCAGGCCACCTCCCTGTCCCCATCCCTGTGGGATTTCAGGCCACCTCTGGTTCCGGCAGCTCTTGAGGGACACTCAGGTGACATTTAGCTTCTCTGGACAATTCCAGACCTGGAAAATGCATCCCAAACTGGGTCACCCCCTCTTACCTAACCCTGCTCCCATTATTCCCTGAATTCACAGCAATTCCATAAAAAAACCCAGGAGAACTCGGACAATGTGGAAGAGCGGCCGCCACCATTAAAAATTCCGTTCCCCACCGACTTCCCGGGGGAAACGTTTCAAGCCTTTGACATCCCAAAACTTGTGAGATGAAAGGCTGTGACTTTCCCAAAAAAAGACCGGGAATGTGGGACTCTGCGGGATGGTGGAAGGGTTGGATTCTGGCGGGGAGCGAGGACGGGATGTGTGGGAAGCAGGAGGATCCGGGGGCTGGATGAGTGGGGCATGGAGCTCTGGGAATTGCAGGGAAAAGGCAGGAAGAGAGGATGGAGAAGGGCTGATCCTCGAAATCGGTGACATTTCTCCAGGGGAAAACCTGGAGATTGGATGGACACGGATGGAAGGGACAGGGATGCGGAAAGGGACGTTCCGATGTCACCGGGAGCTGGAGGATTCCCAGCAGGGAATCCTAAACCAGTGTGGGATCCTGGCAGGGCTCGTAAAAGCCCGGAATTCCCAAAATTCCGGCGCTGCTGGAGATGGGCACAGCCCCGATTCCAGAGGATCCCCTATCGGGATGAGGGAGGGGACCTCGGGTGCCACCCGGCTCCACAGGGAATGACACCTGGGGCAGGGAGACACCCCGGGATCTGCTCCCAGTATTCCCAGTTTGGATGTGCTGGGATAGGCCAGAGTCACCCTGGGATGCTCCAGGACACTTTGTCCCCAAGGCCACCGCCTGGAATGTCACCTCCTCTGCCAGCTGCTCTGGGAGCAGCCGTGGCCAGGATGGTTTGGTTGGAAAAGGTTTTCCCATGGGAAGAGCTGCCCCTGATCCAGAGCTCCTGGCACCTTGCTGAGCCTTGGCACCCATGGGTGACACCAGCTCATGGCGGCTCTGTGGGGCCACCCCTGAAAGGGCAGGACAAGACTTGGAATTTTGGGTCACTTCCTGCTGGGATGTAATATTTCCACGCTTTTTAAAGATTTGTCTCTGATTTGGAAGGTTTGGGATCGTTTTAGGGCCGGGGTGGGGGTGAGGCAGAACCAGGGTGGCATTGGTGCCACCGTGGGGTGCCACGGGCCACCTTGATCACCTCCTGAGTGGGACAACACCTGGAGATCCTCAGAAATGGAAAAGCCCTGGAAAAACCCACCCTTGGTGCTGGGCCAGGAGTGAACATGGAGGGGGTGACCCAGGACTCGACATTGTCACCTCAGCATTGTCATTGTCACTATGGTGTTGTCATTGTCACCATGGCGTTGTCATCGTCACCATGGCATTGTCATCGTCACCATGGCATCGTCATTGTCACCACAGCATTGTCACCATAGCATTGTCATTGTCACCACGTCATTGTCACCACACCATTGCCGCTGTCACGGCATCGTCATTGTCACCACAGCATCATCATCATGACATCGTCATTGTCACCACTGCATCATCATTGTCACCACAGCATTGTCACCACGGCATCCCCATTGTCACCACGCTGTCATTGTCACCACAGCATTGTCACCATGGCATCCCCATTGTCACCACACCGTCATTGTCACCACAGCATTGTCACCATGGCATCCCCATTGTCACCATGCTGTCATTGTCACCACAGCATGTCATTGTCACGTCGTCATTGTCACGTCGTCATTGTCACCTCAGCTTATCCCCATTGTCACCACAACATTGTCATTGTCACCACAGCATCATCATTGTCACCACACCGTCATTGTCACCATGGCATTGTCACTGTCACCACAGCATTTTCACCACAGCATGTTGTCAATGTCACCACAGGATCGCCATTGTCACCACAGCATCGCCATTGTCATGGTCACCACAGCATGTTGTCATTGTCACCACAGCATGTTGTCATTGTCACCACAGCATATCACCATTGTCACCACAGCATTGCCATCGTCACCACAGGATCACCATTGTCACCACGGCATCGCCATTGTCACCACAGCATTGCCATTGTCACCACGGCATCGCCATTGTCATGGTTACCACAGCATGTTGTCATTGTCACCACAGGATTGCCATTGTCACCACAGCATTGCCATCGTCACCACAGTATCGCCATTGTCACCATGGCATTGCCATTGTCATGGTCACCACAGCATGTTGTCATTGTCACCACAGCATATCACCATTGTCACCACAGCACCGCCATCGTCACCACAGCACCGCCATCGTCACCACAGCATCGCCATTGTCACCACAGCATCACCATTGTTACCACAGCATCGCCATTGTCACCAAGCCCTGCCACAGGGAGGGGAGGACACGGAGTGGCGGGAAGGGCGGAGCAGGGGAGCAGCCACATCCACGGCGCGCTGGGAGCCCATCCCACAACTCCCGCGGACGTCCCGGCCCCTCTGCCGAGCGCCCGAAGCTCCGAGATGTCCCTCAAAGCCACATCCAGCTCCTCGGCCGCGTCACCCGCCCCGTCCCCAACCCCGGCCACGCCCGGCTCTTACCGTGCGGCCACCACCGGCGACTTCTTGCCGGGATCCAGGGTGGAGCCGGCTGGTTCCTCGCCCAAGGAGCGCGTGTCCTTGTTGAGCTGCTGGAGGCGGGAGCTCAGCTCGCTGATCACAGTTGGTTTGTCCTCTTCGGCCCCGTGGCCGGGCCTGCTCTCCATGGGGTCCCCCCATAGCTTGGACCTTCTCTGAAAGAGGTAGCGTGGCCGGGCCGCGCTGGTGGCCGCCAGCGTGGCCGCGTGGTGCTGGGAGATGAGCTCGCTGTCCGAAGACTGCTTCAAAAGTGGGTCCCTGAAAGTAACCGGCCCCTTGCTGAGCTGGGACTTGAGTTTGGGCTTTGGAGGCACTGGTGGCTTCTCGAGTAGAAAAGTTTGGCCGTCGGCGAAGGACGTGTAGGTGTCGGTGGGCTCGCCGCTCTCCGAGGACAGCGTGGACATGCTGGAGACCGTGGAGATGGTGCTTGTGGTCTCCAGGTGGTGGTCGCTGGAGCTCCTGGTGTCCACCTCTTCCACTCCCGAGTCCGCCGCCGACTCCGGGGCCGCGGGGGCGTCCGAGGGCTTCCCTGAGGGTGTCGCGCCGGGGGGAGAAGGTGCTACTGCTGCCGCTGGCAGGGACGGCGTGCCGGGCGCGGCCAGGTGGCTCACGGGGGTGCCGGGGGTGGTCACCAGCACCCCGTTGGCGAATTCGTCCGGGGGCGGCACCAGCCCGATCTTGGCCAGCTCCTCGCGGGTCTCCTCGTCGCTGGAGGACAGCTGGGCCGGCGGGAGGGTCACCGTGTAGGGCTCCACCTCCTCCTCCGAGCTGCCCTGGCCCAGCGCCTTCTCTGAGGCCGGGCTGGCCGGCGGCTTCCCCACGGGGCTGGGCTGGGGCTCGGCCTTGGGGGACTCGGCCGGCTCGGCGCAGACCTCGGGCACGGCCGGGCTCTCCTCTTTGATCTCCAGGCCTATCTCGTCTTGGCCATTACTGGTGGCGTGGACCATGATGAGGCCGGCGGTCTTCTGCTGCGACGTGTCCACGATGCTGATGATCATGGACTTCTTGTCCTCGGGTTTCTTCTCCTCCTTGCCCGGCGGCTCCGCTCGCATCTCGGGCTCCTTCCGCAGGGTGGTGGGAGTCGCCCAGGGGCTCTTGGTGGGGGTCAGAGCGCCGGCGTCGGCCGCCATCACCACCTTCCCGCCGGGGGAGTAGGCGGGGGACACCAAGCTCTCCAAGTCCCCCCTGTCCGGTTCTTTGGTTTGGATGTCCACAAACAGGGGCGCGGCTCTGTCCGAGTCGGGGCTGTGGATCGGGGTGGGCGACCGGGATGGGACTTGGGTGGACAGCGCCCGTTCCCTTGCGGCCAGCGCCAGCGCCAGGGGCGAGTTGGGATCCAGGGGCTTTCCCGTCAGGGGGTGGATGAAGGTTGAGGAGGAGCTGCTGATTAATGGCTTTAAAGCTGACACGGGCGACGGCAGGAGGACATCCCGGCTGCCCAGGAGCCGCTCGTCGATGGAGCGCGACTGCTGCAGCGACGGCATCTCGCTGCCGCCCGGCGCCGGCCCCTCGATGGCTCCCACCGACAGGAACACCGTGGATTTCCTCCTCTCGTCCAGCCGCCGGTCCCGGTCCTTCATGACGCCGGCGGCGATGGCGGTGGCGAAGGGGAGGCCGGCGGCTTCCACCTGAGCGATGCCGGGGTGGTGCTGGTAGTCCAGGCGGTGGCTCCGGCGCGTGGGCGACGGCTCCCGGGAGGAGTAGCCGCCGGTGATGGCCAAGGCCGCCCGTTCCTGGGCGTCCTCCACCTGGAGCTGCTTGACCAGGGGACTCTTCTTCCTCTGCGGCTTGGTGGGGGCGAAGAGGCTGACGTTGAACTGGCCCATGTTGGCGTAGGGGTTGTCGATGACCCGGCCCTTCCTCTTGAGCTTCTCCGGAGGCGTCACCGCCGGGCCGGGCCGGGGGATCTCGGTGGGTTCCACGGGGAGGTGGGAGGAATCCTGGAGGATTATCATGGAGCGGGCCCTCTTCTGCCGCTCGGGGTAGGGCATGGAGCCCCTGGCCTGGTCGTACATCTCGGCCGCGCTCAGCACCTGCGGCAGCCCGTGCAGTTTGGCTTCTAAGCCCGGCTTAAAGCTGGACCTGATGGTGTCGTAGGCCCGGCCCGGCGGCGGCGGCGGCGAGAAGGACGGAGGGGGACCGGTGTCGAAGTAATAGGGGGAGGGCGGCGGGGGAGGGGCGGTCTGCGGGGGAGGGGGGATCCCGTGGCCTTCCCGGACCGTGTCCGTCATGGAGGTGCTCCGCGGGAACTTCCCGTCCAGCAAGGAGGCGGCCAGCTTCTCGTCTTCCCCTGGAAAACAAGGAAAACGGGGGAGTCGGGGATGAGTTTCTGGTCCCCGGATGGAAAACGAGGAAAAAAGTGGAGTCAGGGAGAAGTTTCCTATCTTCCACCTGGAAAACAAGGAAAACGGGGGAGTTGGGGATGAGTTTCTGGTCCTCGGATGGAAAACGAGGAAAAAAGTGGAGTCAGGGAGAAGTTTCCCATCTTCCACCTGGCAAACAAGGGGAACGATGGAATCAGGGATGAGTTTTCAGTCTCCAGCTGGAAAACAAGGAGAAGAGTGGAGTCAGGGAGAAGTTTCCCGTCTTCCACCTGGAAAACAAGGAAAACGGGGGAGTCGGGGATGAGTTTCTGGTCCCCAGATGGAAAACGAGGAAAAAAGTGGAGTCAGGGAGAAGTTTCCCGTCTTCCACCTGGAAAACAAGGAGAACGATGGAATCGGGGATGAGTTTTCAGTCTCCAGCTGGAAAACGAGGAAAAAAGTGGAGTCAGGGAGAAGTTTCCCGTCTTCCACTTGGAAAACAAGGAGAACAATGGAATCAGGGATGAGTTTCTGGTCTCCAGCTGGGAAACGAGAAGTGAAGTCAAGGGAAGGATCTTCTCTCTTTCCCCTGGAAGAAGGAAAAGAGCAAAGTCAGGGATGAATTCTTTGGAAAACACGGAGAGAAGTGGAGTCAAGGAGAAGCTTCACAACTCCACACGGAAAACAAGGAAAAGAGCAAAAGTCAGGGACGAGTTTCCGGTCTCCACCTGGAAAATAAGGATAGAAGCGAAGTCAGGGATGAGTTCCACGTGGAAAACAAGGGAAAAATGGAATCAGGGATGAGTTCCTTATCTCCACTGAGAAAACAAGGAAAAGAGCAAAGTCAGGGATGAGTTCCTTATCTCCATATGGAAAACAAGGGAAAAATGGAATCAGGGATGAGTTCCTTATCTCCACTGGGAAAACAAGGAAAAGAGCAAAGTCAGAGCTGAGTTTCTGGTCTCCACCTGGAAAACCAAGAAAAGAGTGGAGTCAGGGAGAAGTTTCCCGTCTTCCACATGGAAAACAAGGAAATGGAATTAGGGATGAGTTTCTGGTCTGCACATGGAAAACAAGGAGAAGAGCAAAGTCAGGGAGAAGTTTCCCGTCTTCCACCTGGAAAACAAGGAAAATTATGGAATCAGGGAATAATTTCTTGTCTTCCCAAGGAAAACAAGGAGAGAGGTGAAGTCAGGGATGAATTTGTTGTCTCTGGAAAACAGTGGAATCAGGGAGAAGTCTCCCATCTTCCCCTGGAAAAGAAGGAAAACAACGGAAGCAGAGATGAGTTTCTCATCTCCACCTGGAAAACAAGGAGAGCAGTGAAGAGGACATTCCCAGAGAATTCCTAGAGTGGGACAAACTGGGAAGTGGCTGGGGTTGTTCCTCCCACCCTTCTTTGTTCCCAAGACTCTCCCTCTTCCCAAGCCGTGTTGGAAAAAGCTTGGAGCAACATCCCAATGGAAGCTCTGAGATAGGAAGAACCAGCCAGAATTCCCAGGAAAGCCATGGCTGCCCCCAAATCCCTGGAAGTGCCCAAGGCCGGGCTGGACACCTTGGGATAGTGGAAGGTGTCCCATGGAAAGGCTGGGAATGGGATGAGCTTTGAGCTCAACCCCAACCATTCCACGATTCCATGGGAGCCCCCCCACAGCCGCATTCCCGTGGGATCAGCTGTTCCCACCCCTTCCCGAGCAGCTCCGCTGACGGAAGTGCCGCCACCGCCAACGTGCCAGACATCCGAGTGCCACCGGCACGGGCGCGGCTCCCGTCACACTTCCCGCTTTCCCGAGGGGTGACATCTGTTCCCGAGCGCCAGACTGAGCCCGGCGGGGTCTAGCAGGAATTCCTGCTTTTTCAGGGAATACTCAGAGACACTGGGAGGATTTGGATGGAAAAGCAGGAACAAATCAGGGGTGGATTGGGATGATTTAAGGGCCTTCCCAGCCCGAGCCATTCCATGATCCTAAAATCCATTCACGCCACAATTCCCTTCCTCCATTCCCAGCTCCAGCCTCATTCCCAAGCCCGGATCCGCCGTGCTCACCTGTCCCTTGGGAAAATTCCTCCTTCCCAATCCCTGCTCCGCTCTTCCCAAGCTTTCAAACGGCTCCGGAGAGGATTTGGGGTTTTTTTTTTTGGCCTCTGGAGCGAATTTTCCTTTATGGAAAACGCTCTTCCAGTGGCACCGAGAGGCTCCGGCAGCTCCGCCCGGAATCCGTCAGCAATTCCACCCGAGGCAGAATCCAATGGGGACAAAAGGGAGGAATTTGGCACTGAAATTCCATCCCATGCTGTTGGTCGTGCTGGAAACTGGGCTATTTTTGGGAATTGGGGATGTGCCGTGGGAATAAAGAACCGGCAGCACGGAACGGGTTCAAAGGGAGCCTGGACAAAGCCATGGAAAATGCGCTTTTCCCAAGCTTTTTTGAAATCCCGGAGCCGAGGCCAGCAGGGGGAATTTGGGAGGATGATCCCGTCCTTGCCCTTTTTTCTTTTGGGAATCTGAGATCCTGCACTAGATGGAGCTGTGGAATGTTCTGGGAGCAGCAGGAAGATCCCAAAAAAAAACCCCAGTCCTGCCTTTCTGGAGATTTCTGGGAATGGCCGGGAGGTGACACGGGGATATTTGGGAAGCTCTGAGCTCCATCCCTGGGCCTGGAATGTCCCAGGACAGGGAACAGGGGAGCTCATCCTGGGAATATGGTGTCTGGCTGGGCAGGAAATCCAGCAGAAAAGCGGGATCTTCCCTCTGGAATATCCTGGGCCTGGCTGCCGGATCAGGGGTGACATTGGGATATCCAGAACTTGGACCCAGTCCTTGGATCCAGCTCTCCTCCATTTTTCCCTAAATGAGGAGGGGACACTATGGAAAACCACATCCCAGGACTTGTAAAATGCAGGGAATACCGTGGAAAACCAATATTCCAGGAATTGTCACGTTCAGGAAATACTATGGAAAACCACATCCCAGGAATTGCCAAAGGTAGGGAATACTGTAGAAAACCACATCCAAGGAAATGCCAAATGTAGGGAAAACTATGAGAAACCAAATCCATGGAGTTGTCAAATGCAGGGAAAACTATGGAAAACCACATCCCAGGAATTGCCAAAGGCAGGGAACACTGTGGAAAACAACATCCAAGAAATTGTGAGGGGCAGGGCGCCCCATGGAAAACCAAATCCAAGGGCAGGGAATGCCATGGAAAACCACATCCAAGGAATTGTCAAATGTAGGGAATGCTATGGAAAACCACATCCAAGGAATTGCCAAATGTAGGGAATGCTATGGGAAACCACATCCAAGGAATTGCCAAGCAGAGGGGACACTACGGAAAAGCACATCCCAGGAATTCCATGTTATTCCCACCCAGAATTCCAGGCCTGGAGCAGCTCCCTATGGCAGTGGCTGAGCCACAGCCATGAGATCATTCCCGGATCATCCCTCGGTTTTCTGGACATTCCTGGGAGCCATTCCCTGTGTCCTGTCCCTCCAGGCCTTTCCCAAATTTCAGCTCTCCTGGAGCTCCTGCAGGTCCTGGAAGGTCACAGCTGGGTCACCCCAGATTTTTCCCTTTTCCATTTTCCATTGGGACAATCCCAATTTCCCCAGCCTCAGTTATTCCTCTGGACTTGCTCCAACAATTCCATGTCCCTTCCTCATCTTCCCATCCCTCCAGGATCTGCTCCAGGAGCTCCATGTCCCTCTTGTCCCGAGGATCCCAGTCCCGGATCCAGCGCTCCCTGTCCTGCTGGGAATGCTCTTCCCAATCCATCCCTGCATCCCACCAGCCTCAGGAACAGAGTTTTCCAGCAGATCCTTCTCCACTGAGCCGCTCCCAGCGGATCCTTTGGAATTCCAGTGGAATTACTCTGTTCAGGGAAGGTTTTCCCAAATTCTGGGGCTGTTGTTGTCTCCTCCTGCCCAAATCCTTCCCCCATCCCGGCTGCCGTGGCCAAATTCCTACAGAAGCTCGGGAGAGGAAGAAATTCCTCCCAGGAATTTCAAGGAGTATGGAAAAGCAGGATCTGTTTATTCCCAGCATGGATGATCCAGAGCCGAGCTTTATTTACTTTTCATGGAATGCTGGATGTGCCTGGGAATCTCCAGTGGGGAACAAAAGCCACCAGCGAAACTCTGGGAGCAGCCTGGAATGCTGAGGGCTGGAATTTTGGGATTGAGCTCCATCCCTGCAGCACCTGGAGCCCGGAGATGCTCCTGGAATTCCCAAGGGAATTTGTCCTTGGGAAAGATCCCTAAAAGGGAGCAGATCCAGAACATCCGGCTTTGGGACAGAATTCCCAGAGGAGCTGTGGCTGCCCCTGGATCCTGGAAGTGTCCAAGGTCAGCCTGGACCACCCTGGGATAGCAGGAGGTGTCCCTGCCCTTGGAATGAGGTGGAATTTGGGAATCTCGAAGCTCCTTCCCACCCAAACCATTCCAGGATTCCATCCCGGAGGTCACTTTAACACCAGGACATTGTCCAGCCCTCCCCAATATTCCCGATGGTCCTGAGGGGTCACAAATCCCTCCCATCCCTCCAAAGGCAGCTGCTCCACCCTCTGGAATTCTCTCCATGGCAGCTCCGCAGTCTCCGGAGCGTTTTTAACTCTGCTGCCAGAGCAGATGGCGCTGGCAGAAATCTTGGAAGTCTGACAGGAATTATCTTCCCTCCCCTTCCCCCCACTCCTTCCCATTTTCCTCCAAATATTCCTCCCATCCCACTTTTTTTTTTTTTTTTTCCATTTTCTTCCCATCCTTGCTTTTTTTCAGGGAATTTTTCCAGGAATCTTTTTTATCTTTTCTCCCACTTCTTATTCCAGCCAGTCAGGGGTTAATCACCTTTATCCCGGGAATTTTTCCTGGAGTATTTTTGATCATTTCTCCCTCTTTTTTTTCCAGCCAGCTGGGGGTTAACCACCTTTATCCCGGGGAATTTTCCTGGATTTTTTCTCCCACATTTTTTTCCCAGCCAACTGGGGGTTAACCACCTTTATCCCGGGAATTTTTCCTGGATTTTTCTCCCACTTTTTTTGTCAACCAGCCGGGGGTTAACCACCTTTATCCTGGGAATTTTTCCTGGATTTTTTCTCCACTTTTTTTTCCAGCCAGCTGGGGGTTAACCACCTTTATCCTGGGAATTTTCCTGGATTTTTTTCTCCCACATTTTTTCCAGCCAGCTGGGGGTTAACCACCTTTATCCCACGAATTTTCCTGGATTTTTTCTCCCACTTTTTTTCTCAGCCAGCTGGGGGTTAACCACCTTTATTCCACGGATTTTCCTGGATTTTTTCTCCCACTTTTTTTTTTCCAGCCAGCTGGGGGTTAAGAACCTTTATCCCGGGAATTTTTTCCCCCTGGAATCTTTTTTATCTTTCTTCTCTGGGATCTGCAGTGCTGCTGGAATACGCAAATGCCGGGGAATATTTATTCCAAAAAAACCCCATCCGAGCGCTGCTTTTCCATCTCCTTCCTCGCCCGTGCAGGGATTTTTCCCTGGAATCAAGTGACTGCGCAGCTCCCGGCCGTGGGTGTGGAATGACAGCTCAAGGACTTCTAATTCCAGCCCCATTCCCACCCGATTCCTCCCTCTCCGCCTCTTTTCCATCCCCGTTTTCCTGGAATTACACGGGAATGGTTTCTTCCAGGAGCCGCTTTGGGATTTGTGTTGGTTCCCCTCCATTCCAGGGGTTGTCCCGCTGTGGGGATGGATCTGGTGCTCCTGGCTGGGATTTTTCCCTGGATTTTTTAAAATTTTTGTTGGGATGTGCTGTGGCAGCCGCAGCCATTCCTGCTCGGAGCAGGGATTCTCCCACTGGGATCTCTCCTGGTGGAGATTCAAGGAATGGTTTTAACACCTTTTTTCTGGAGGGGTTTGGCTGCATGGAATGGGAATTGCTGGGAATGTCAGGGATAACTGGGATATGCTGGGAATTCTCATGGGGGTGTGAGAACAGAATTCCCAGGTTATTAAGGCTGGGAAAGAATTCCAAGGGCACTGAGTCCCAGCTGGGCCCGATCCCAGCCCTGAGTGGAATTCCGGGAATTCCTCGGACACCTCCAGGGATGGGCACTCCAAAGCTCCCTGGGCAGCCCCTGCCAAGGCCTGGCCCCCTTTCCATGGAAAATGATCCCAAATCTCCGAGCTGAGCCTGCCCTGGCCCAGGCTGAGGCCGCTCCCTCTTTTCCCGGGGCTCATTCCCTGGAGCAGATCCCGATCCCCGCTGGCTCCTGGCAGGAGCTGGGCAGAGCCAGGAGGACATTCCCGATCCTGCCCCGATCCCGGGGCAGATCCCACTTTTCCCGGGCTCTCCCTGCATGGATCCCCGGCAGCCCCTGCCCAGCCCAGGGGGGCTCGGGGCCCTTCCCGAGGCACCGCCGGCATTCCATGGGCCAGGATTCCACAATTCCCCAACCCTTTTGTGGTTTGGGTTGGAAGAACCTCAGAGCCCATCCACTTCCAACCCCTGGACACCTCCTGAGATCCCAGGCTGCTCCAACCTTTCCTTGGACATTCCAGGGATCCAGGGGCAGCCCCAGCTGCTCTGGAAATTCCTCATTCCCAAGATCCCATTCATCCCTCTGGCAGTGGGAGCCATTCCCTGTGTCCTGTCCCTCCATCCTTGTCCCCAGTCCCTCTGCAGCTCTCCTGGAGCCCCTTCAGGCCCTGGAATGTGCTGGAAGCTCTCCCTGGATCCTTCCCTTCTCCAGGGGAACATTCCCAGATTTCCCAGCCTGGTTCCAACCTTTGGACAATTCCATGGATACATTCCCAGTGGATGATCCACCCTGGATAATGCCGCAATTCCCACTCCAGATCCCTTCCCAAACCATTCCCAGCTCTTCACGGCACACTGACCCTTAAACAGCTTTTCCAAAGCTTTTTCCCAAACATTCCCACCACCCAGAAACTCCGGACACCCCTTGGGAATCTCTTGAATCCTCCTCATTCAAATGGCACCGGGGCAGGATCCACATCCAAGACCGAAATATGGGATAAACCAGGATAAAAGTCCCGATTCCCCTCTGGACATCACGGCTTTGGGACGCTGGGATGGGTTGGTGGCACCAAAAACCTTCTGGAATGGGGTCAAGGACTTCCCACAGGTGGATTTTGGGTTTGGTGGCATCAAAAATCTTTGGGAACAGAATCAAGAACCCACCAGAGATGGCTGTGGGTTTGGAGACTCCATGAATGTTTTGGGACAAGGTCCAGGACCCACCACAGATGGTTTTGGATTTGGTGGCAGCAAAAATCTTCTGGAATGGGGTCAAGGACTTCCCACAGGTGAGTTTGGGATTGGTGGCACCAGAAATCTTTAGGGACAAGCTCAAGGAGCCACCACAGCTGGATTTTGGGGTTGGTGGCACCGAAAACCTTCAGGACAAGGTCCAGGAGCCACCAGAGCTGGTTTGGGGTTGGTGGCACCAAAAACCTTCTGGAATGGGGTCAAGGACTTCCCACAGGTGGATTTTAGGTTTGGCAGCACCATCAATCCTTGGGAACAGAACCAAGAACCCACCAGAAATTATTTTGGAGTCGGAGACTCCATAAATCTTTAGGAACAAGGTCCAGGATATCCCACAGCCAGGTCTGGGAAACCTTCAGGGACAAGGTCCAGGACCCACCAGAGGTGGATTTTGGGTTTGGCAGCACCAAAAACCTTCTGGAATGGGGTCAAGGACTTCCCACAGGCGGATTTTGAGTTTGGCGGCACCAAAAATCTTTGGGAACAGAATCAAGAACCCAGCAGAGATGGTTTTGGGTTTGGAGACTCCATGAATGTTTTGGGATAAGCTCAAGGATCCCCCCACATCCAGGTGCCTCCTCCAGACCTCATCCTGCTCCTCCTAAGTCCCCACTCCAGCATTCCCAGTTCCAGAGGTGACATTCCGGCCGGGAATGCCCAGTGCCAACACTGGGGGTGGCAGAGCCGATCCAGGAATTCCTGGAATTCTCTCCCAGAATTCTCTCCCAGAATTCTCCAGTCCCACCTTCCACTCCGAGCAGGACCAGGCATCCCTCTAAGCCGGAATTCCATGGAATTCCATAGAATACTCCGAAATCCAAGAGCTGGAGCAACCTGGGAAGGGCCGAGCCTTTCCCACCCACTCCACATCCCACAGGGACCCTCCCTTCTCATTCCCAAGGGATTCTCCTGGGTTTTTCCTCACCTACAGACTTGGTCCGTGGAATTCCCTTCCGGAGGGACACGTGGGGTTTCTCCGTTCCCGCCAGGACCCCGGAATGCGCCATTCCCTGGCGCTCAAACAGGGACTGGAAGGGAAAAACAGGGAATTTCCAGTCTGGATGCCGCTGGAAGGACACGACATTCCCACCCGAACTTCCAAGCGCAGGAAAACGGGAGCTCTTCCCAACTGGATGGACTCTGCTGCTCCATCCAGTGGAATTCCAAATGTTGGGATGATTCCCTGGGTCCCATCCCATCTCCCTGCCTGCTCCAGGTGGGAATCTGGTGAGGATGGCTCCGGGAGCTCCTGTCCCGCTTTTCCTGGAGCTGCCTCCCACCCACAGAATTCCTGGCACAATCCTGAGCCTCTTCCTCCTCCTCCTCCTCCTCCTCCCTCCACCTTTCCCTCAAATTCCGGCAGAATTCCAGCCCCGCATCCAGCCCGGCTCTCCAGGCTCCTCCCGAGCTGCTCTTCCAGCCTTCCCTGGGAAATCCATGTGGATTCCCAGGCCTGGATGGGGATCCCAAGGAGCCAAGGGAGCGCTGAGCCCCCACTGTGGATCGGGGTCTCCCAGGCTCCACATTCCCGGGAATTCCGCTCCCGAACCAGCTCCCCTTGGCACCACATTCCTTCCCATCCTTCTCCATGTGCTCCCTTCCCTCTCCTTCCATTCCTGGGAATTCCACTCCACATTCCCTCTCATCCCTCTCCCTCATTCCAGGCCCCCATTCCTGGTGGGATTCCCTCCAGCTCACACCGATCTCCTCAGTGAGATCCTCTGGATCCCTCCCATCCCTTTCCACATGATCCCATCCCTCTCCTTCCTTCCCTGGGAATTCCACTTTCTATTCCTGGGAATTCCACTCCCCAGTTCCCGCTGGCTCACACTGATCTCCAAAGGGGTGATGCTCCCACCTCATTCCCTCACTCCATGCCCCCATTCCCGCGGAATTCCCGCTGGCTCACACTGATCTCCACAGGGGTGATCCTCCCATCCTATTCCCATCCCATTCCCCCATTCCAGGCCCCCATTCCCACGGAATTCCCGCTGGCTCACACTGATCTCCGCAGGGGTGATCCTCCCATCCTATTCCCACATTCCAGGCCCCCATTCCCGCGGAATTCCCGCTGGCTCACACTGATCTCCGCAGGGGTGATCCTCCGGCTGGTCGGGCGCTGTTTCACCGTGGCCGCTCTGGAATCGGCCTCCACCAGCTCCGCCCTCAGCGCCGGCTCGGTGGCCGCCAGGATCTCATCCAGCTTCTCTGGAATCCAAGGAAAACCGGCTGATCCCGGGGATCCCAGCCCTGGGATCGCTCCCTTCCCGCAGCTCATCCCGGAGAAGGGAGGGATCGTCCCCGCCGCTCCTCTCCCCGGCCGGTGGTTTCCGTGGATTTGGGGGGGCTGATCCCGCTCAGCCGGGGAATTCCGGGGGTGCTGTCCCACCCCACATTCCAAGGAATTCTCTGCCTGACACTAACCAGCGAGCTCATCCCGGATTTTGGGTATTCGGGATGAGCTGAGTCCTGCCAGGAGGATGGGAAGCCCAGGGAATCCCGGAACACGGAGGTGTCCATGGGATCCACATGGCTCCGGCACATCCAGTGTTTGTTTGGGATAAACCGGGATATTCCCAGCTGGAACGGACTCCCTGAATGATCCCAATTTTCCATGTCCAGGGCAGGATCTGTTGCCCACAGATATTGGGAATATTGGCAGAGCCACCATGGCTGTGTCCAAATTCATGGAATAGGGACTGGGACCGGAATTCCTTCCTCCAGGATCCATCCCGGCACTTTTATCCCTTGGGAACACCAAGCCGTGCCCGGATGTATCCCAGCGGATCCATTCCCTTGGGAATTCCAGCTGGAATCCTGAACCTTGGGATATGGGAAAGGGCAGGAGGTGGACATGGATTCATTCCCACGGATCCCTCCTGAGCTGATCCTACAAAATTCCCAACTGGAATGGGAAGCTGAGGCTGTTGCCTGGTGTCACCTTCACCCGATGGTTCTTCCCAAATCCAGCTGGATCCATATCCCAGATTCCTGCCCCGGGAGAGGGACCAGGCAACTCCACCAGTGTCCAGGTGGGAATTGCAGCCTTGGGATTCTCCTGGAGCCAGGCTGGTCCTTGGGCCTTCTACGGAATTGTGGGACATGGAATCATGGAATGGTTCAGGTAAAGAAGGATGTTAAAGCTCATCCCATTCCATGGGACACCTTCCCATGATCCCAGATTTCTCCAGCCTTTCCTTGGACATTCCAGGGATCCAGGGGCAGCCCCAGCTGCTCTGGCAATCCCAGCCCAGCCAGGAATTCCTCATTCCCAAGATCCCATCCATCCCTCTGGCAGTGGGAGCCATTCCCTGTGTCCTGTCCCTCCATCCTTCTCCCCGGACACTCTGCAGCTCTCCTGGAGCCCCTTTAGGGCCTGGAATGTGCTGGAATTCTCCCTGGAATATTTTCTGGAAGAAAAACATCCTGGATCTGTCTCCAATCCTTGGGAACCTCCAGCTGATTTTCCGGATCCATGGGATCCGCGTGTGGCCCCTTCTGGATCTGCCCGATCCAGGGAAGGGTTGGGAGGATCCCTCAGACGCTTCCCACGGTAATTCCCGCTTGGCTTCTTCCCTGTCCTATCCCCACTGGATCCCTGCTGGAAGAGCTGATCCCACATTCCCAGTTCTGTGGGGAACATGGAATGGGACCCACCAGGACAGAAAATCCCGGATCAGAAAATCCCAGGAAGGGTTGGGTGGGAAGGGACCTTCAATCCCACCCAGGTCCAACCCTTCCACCAAAAACTTCCCGGTTTTTCTGCGACATTCCCGGCACATCCTCAGGGTGGAAACAGCAGGATAAACTGCATGGATCCACCAGGAATAGCGGGAAAAACTGCCTGGAACTGCCAGGAATAGCGGGATAAACTCCCTGGAACTGCCAGGAATAGCAGGATAAACCGCCTGGATTCGCCAGGAATAAAGGGATAAAATGCCTGGAACTGCCAGGAATAGTGGGATAAACTGCCTTGGAACTGCCAGGAATAGTGGGATAAACTCCCCTGGAACTGCCAGGAATAGTGGGATAAATTCCCTGGATTTGCCAGGAAAGGCTTTGGCTATTTGGGATAAAGCTCGACACCGTCATTCCCTCGGATCCGACACTGGACAAACCCGGAGCAGGGATCACACCTGGGAATGGCAGGGTTGGGAATTTTGGGATACAGGAGCATTCTGCCTGTAGCCAGCAGAATTCCCTGTGGAATTCCTGGCATTCCAATTGCAGGCGTTCCAATTCCTGACATTGGAGTCGATCCCGAATTCCCAAATCCTGTCTGAATTCCCTGAGGCGCTGCAGGAACAGCGACCCTCGGGATGCCGGGATCTCCCCCAAGTCCGGATCCTGCCGGATCCCAGCGGGAGCTGTCAGGAAGGGGCGGAATCCCGGGAATTTCGCTTTCACTCACCCCCTTTCCTTCTCCGCATGGAGGCTTGGAATGGGAAACAAAACACAGAATCAACGGCATGGAACAATTCCCGCCCCCATTCCCGGCTCCAGCCTGGCTCTTCCCACATTTCCCGGCCTCTGGGATGTGGGATTTGGGCAGGGCACCTCGGAATTCCAGCCTTTATCCACCGGGATTGTCCCTCCGACCCAGGATTTGGGATTTATCCCAGCTCCAGGCTGGGATCATCACTTGCCCTCCTCATGGATCCAGGGAAGCCGGAGCAGGATTGGCTGGAATTCCATCCCAAGGCATGGAAAAGCTCCCAGGGTAATTCCCCATCCATGGATTTTGGCACAGGGGGGATCCCAGCGCATCCTGCTGGGAATCTGCTGCTCCAAGGGGATTGGAATGGCAGGGAAAGCGTCGGGAAGGGCAGAGGGGGTGTTTGGGATCCATGGAAAACGGATGGGAAGCACCCGGCAGAGCTTTTTTTGGGAATGTCCCTTTCCCTGATGGTTCCTTGGGAAGGAGAGCGGCTCCAAGCCGAATCCTGGGAATGCTGATCCACCCGGAGCAAAGGATGGGAAGAGGATGGATCCCCTGTTTTCCCTGGAATGGCTTCAGCCCATTCCTTGATCTATGGGAATGAGCGCTACAATTCCCTGAAAAAATCATGGGAATTGTGGAATCCCAGGATCCAGGATGGGGGAAAAGTGGGAAAAAGGAGCAGGTCTGGCTCTGCTCCCAAGAATTCCCACCAAAAAAAGGAGCCTTGGATTGGGAATAACAGTCTGGAAGCGCCGGGAATCAAGGGTGGGAATTCCAGGGTGGGAATCCAGTTGGAGGCTCAGGATAAAATAAATCCCAGCTGATCCAATCTGGGAATTCTGGGATCTGATCCCGCAGGGCCTGGCTCCAAGGAGGAGCAAGGAAAGGCTTGGAAAACTGGGAAGGGCGTGGAAAAGCAGAGGGAATGGAAAAACAGGGATGGCATGGAAAACAGGGAGAGCAGAGGGGGGGAATGGAGAGCACGGAAAAACCAAGGAGGGCCTGGAAAACCAGGAAGGAATTAAAAAAGAGGAAAACCGGGAGGGGCATGGAAAACCAGAAGGAATGGAAAAACTGAGAGCATGGAAAACCAAGGAAAACATGGAAAACTAAGAAAAACATGGAAAACCAAGGAAAACATGGAAAACTAAGTAAAACATGGAAAACCAGAAGGAATTAAGAAAGAAGGAGGGCATGGAAAACAGGGAGAGCTTGGAAAACCAGAAGGAATGGAAAACTGAGAGCGTGGAAAATCAGGGAGAATGTGGAAATCCATGGAGATCATGTTAAACAGGGAGAGCTTGGAAAACCAGGATGAGCATGGAAAACCAAGAAGGGCATGGAAAACAGGGAAGGGATGGAAAACCATGGAGAACATGGAAAAACCAGAAGGAATGGAAAACCAGGAAGAGCTTGGAAAAACCAGGGAGAACATGGAAAACCATGGAGAAGAGGGAAAATCATGGAGAACACGGAAAACCAAGGAAAACATGGAAAACCATGGAGAACAGGGAAAAAGATGGAAAACCAGGGGGAATGTGGGATCCTGCTGAGCCTCCAGGGTGCCACATTCCCACATGGAAAATCCCAAATTCCCATGGAAGCTGGGGCAGCGTGGATGGCCTCGGAGCCAGCCCTGCCGCCAGGGATGCTCCAAAGTTTTCCTGGGATTTGGGATCCCTCCGTGGCCACTCTGGTGACATCCAGGGACAAAGCGCCACCGGATCCGGGAAAAGGGAAGGGATGGAACGGGATCAGCTCCCGCCCGGCCAGGGGGTCCCAGGGACATCCCAGGTGGCCACGAGGGATGGGAAAAACAAGGAATTCTGGCAGCGGGAAGCAGGGAATGGTGAGAGGGGAGAGGATTTCAGGGAATCTGGGAATGTGGAGCGGGATGGGAAAGCAGCAGGAAATGTGGGAATGGGGGAGACGGAGCAATCCTGGAGATCTCCCGGAATTCTCCAGGAGAATTCTCTTGGAATTCTCCTGGAGCTCTCCTGGATCTATCCCGGAGATCTCACTTGGAGCTCACCTGGAGGTCTCTTGGATTTTCCCTGGAGCTCTCCTGGAATTCCAGAGCTCTCCCAGAGCTCTCCCAGAGCTCTCCTGAAATTCCAGAGCTCTCCCAGAGCCCTCCTGGAGTTCTCCCAGAATTCCAGAGCTCTCCCAGAGCTCTCCCAGAGCTCTCCTGAAATTCCAAAGCTCTCCCAGAGCTCTCCTGGCAGGGTTTGGGATCTGCCCGGAGATGGGAAATCAAAACCTGGGACTGCCGGGTGTGGGAAAGGAGGGAAAGGAGCGGGATGAGGAAACGGGAGAGGAGGGAAAGGAGCGGGATGAGGAAACGGGAGAGGAGGGAAAGGAACGGGATGAGGAAACGGGAGAGGAGTGGGATGAAGAGCAGGAGGAGCAGGGAAAGGAGAAGGGAGAGGAATGGGAGACGAGAGCGGATCAGGAAGAGGAGCAGGAGCCGGGAGAGGAGCAGGGAGAGGATGAGGAGCAGGAAGAGGAGTAGGAGGAGCAGGGAGAGGAGCAGGAAAAGGATCAGGAGCTGGGAATTGATTAGGGAAAGGAGCTGGGAATGGAGCTGGGAAAGGAACGGGGAAAAGAACAGGGAAGGAAACAGGGAATGAAACAGGGAATGGAACTGGGAATTGATCAGGGAAAGAAGCAGGGAAAGGAGCAGGAAAAGAACAGGGAGGCGATAAGGAAGAAGGGCAGGAGCAGGGAGAGGAGCATGGAAAGGAGTGAGGAATGCGAGGAGAGGAGCAGGAGAAGGGAAAGGGTCAGGAGCAGGGAAAGGAGCAGGGACAGGATTAGGGAATGGAGCAGGGAATGGAGCTGGGAATGGAACAGGGAATGGAAGGAGCAGGGAATGAATCAGAAATGGATCAGGGAATGGAGCAAGGAAAGGAGCAGGGAAAGGAGCAGGGAATGGAGCAGGAACTGATAAGGAAACGGAGCAGGAATTCATAAGGGAATGGAGCAGGGAATGGAACTGGGAAAGGAAAAGGGAAAGGAGCAGGAATTGATAAGGGAATGGAGCAGGGAATGGAGCAGGGAATTGATAAGGGAATGGAGCAGGGAATGGAGCAGGGAATGGAGCAGGAACTGATAAGGAAATGGAACAGGAATTGATAAGGGAATGGAGCAGGAGTTGATAAGGGAATGGAGCAGGGAAAGGAGCAGGGAATGGAGCAGGATGCCCAAGGCCAGGGCACATCAACCCCTCCACACCCACCTGGAGACTCCCAACACCCTTCCCACGCCCACCTCCGCCGGGATGCGCCTCTGGAGCGCTGGACATCCCTCGGGACATCCCCCGGACATCACTCCGGACATCCCTCCGGACATCCCTCTGGACAGAGACGGGAATCCTGCTCCCCCGCCCCTCCCACACCCCCCACCACCACGGCCCCACGGCGCACACGCGAACAGCTGGAAAAACCGCTGGAAAACCTCTGGAAAACCCCGCCGGCCTTACCCAGCTCCTCCAGCTCGGCCGTCATGGACTTGGAGCGCAGCGTGAGGGTGGTGCTGGGCGCTCTCTTGGGCGGCGGCGGAGCTGCAAGGAACAGAGAGGGCATCTTGCACCTCTTCTCCCGGAATTTCCGCGGCGTGGCCAGGTGCAGGTGCCACTTCTTCTCCACAGCCTGGATCTCCTCGTATTCCCGGGACGAGGAGTCGCACTGCTGCAGGATCTTATTGAGGCTGCGCGTGGACGCGAACTTCTTCATGATTCCCGGCGGGAATGTGCCCGCGGCCTTTGGGAATGTCGGCCCCCCTCCCCTGGCTCAGCGCGGAGTCCGAGCCATGGCCCCGGGGAGGCGGGGGAGGCTCTCGGGGATCCCGGGATGGGTGCGGGGAAAGCGGGAATGTGTCCAGCCTGAGCTCGGGATGCTCTTCCCGCCTCGGCGCAGCCCCCCGAGCGCTTCAGCCCACCCCACCCTCCTCTTCCTCCTCCTCCTCCTCCTCCTCCTCCTGCTGCTGGCTCTGGATCCCAACCCTATGGAAGCGCTGATGTCCAGCCGGGAGCTGCCCAAGGACGCATGGCCCGGGATGATCCCAAAAGCGCCCGATCCCGCATTCCCTAAGCACACCCCCCCAACCCCCCGGAGCAGCGAGGATGAGTGGAAAGCTCTTCCTCTTCCTCCTCCTCCTCCTCCTCGCTGCTCCGCGCTGACAATGCTGGAATAACGCTCCAGGATTGCCATGGCAACGGCAGCTCCGAGCATCCCTGTGCCTGCGGCAGGGATCCAGCGGGGCGGATTCAGCCCCAGCCGGGCCCACACAGGCGCTGTCACCGGGGTGGGGGGACACACGGGATCAGCACCCCCCCACATCCCCCCACCGGTCCCCCCAGCGCCCCTCGGATCCCTTGGAAAAGCGGCCGCGTGGATGCGGAGGATCGGGATGAGGAAGGCACCGGGAAGCGCCGAGGGGGCAGCGGCTCACCCCGGGCTGGAGCGGCTGGAGCGGCCCGAGCGGCCCCGCCGGGGCTCCCAGCGCTGATTCCCGGCTGAATTCCCGAGGATTATTCCCGGCTGAGTGAGTTCCCGAGGCTGCCAGCCGTTCCCACGGCTCGTGCCTTTGTGCCGTGACAGGATAATTGGAGCTCCTCGTGCCAGCAGCGCTCCCTCCTTCCCTCCCTTCCCTCTTCCCTCCCCCGAGCCCCGCGTGCTGCGCTGGGAGCGGCCCCGATCCCGGCCCCCCTTTCCCTGCTCCCATCCCCCTGCTCCATCCCTGCTCCCAGCCCCCTGACTCCATTCGCTACTCCAGTCTCCCTGATTCCACTCCCTGATTCCGTTCTCTACTCTAATCCCTGCTCCCACCCCCTGCTCCAATCCCTGATTCCATCCTTGATTCCATCCTTGATCCCATCCCTACTCCAATCCCCCTGCTCCCATCCCTGATTCCATCCTTGATCCCATCCCTACTCCAATCCTCCTGCTCCCATCCCTGATTTCACTCCCTGATTCCATTCTCTACTCTAATCCCTGCTCCCAGCCCTGCTCCCACCCCCCTGCTCCAATCCCCCTGCTCCCATCCCTTGATCCCATCCCTGCTCCCATCCCCGCTCCAATCCTCCTGATTCCATCCTTGCTCCCATCCCCTATCCCAATCCTCCTGCTCCCATCCCTGATTCCATCCTTGATCCCATCCCCGCTCCAATCCCACTGATTCCATCCCTGCTCCCACCCCTGCTCCCATCCCTGATTCCATGCCTGATCCCATCCCCACTCCAATCCCCCTGATTCCATCCTTGATCCCATCCCTGCTCCCATCCCCTACTCCAATCCTCCTGCTCCCATCCTTGATCCCATCCCTGATTCCATCCTTGATCCCATCCCCGCTCCAATCCCACTAATTCCATCCCTGCTCCCATCCCCGATTCCATTCCTTACTCCCATCCCCCTGCCTCTATCCCTGTTTCCAATTCCCACTTCCATTCCTGTTTCCATCCATCCATCCCTGTTCCTGTCCCTCCTCTCCCGCTGTTTCCATGCCCCTCTCCTGTCTCCTGCTCCCATCCCATTTCCATTCCCTGCTCCCATCCCATTTCCATTCCCTGTTTCCATTCCTCTGCTCCTCTCCCTCCACTTCCATCTCCTTTTTCCATCCCTGCTTCCATCTTCCTGCTCCTGTCCCTCCATCCCATCCTGCTCCTGCTTCCCAAACTCCCATCCCCCTATTCCCATCTCTGTAATTCCACCCTTTTTCTCATTCCCCTTTTCCCACCCCCCTCATCCCATTCCCTGGAATTCCAGTCCCAATCCCCCCAAACCCCTCCTGGCTCCTTCCTGATGTTCCCGTCCTTCTGGACAAATCCCTGCCCTGCCTGAACTCTTGGATATGCTCCCAAAATCCAGAACCCATGGAATGAAATCCCAGAAGTTTCTGGGATCCCCCGGGACTAACCATGCCCAGGAATTCCCACAGCAACTCCCTGGCTCCATCCCGGAATTCTTGGTGTTCCTTTGGGATCACCATCCTGCCCCTCAACATTCCCAGCAATGCCCAGGGTTGTTTCCTATCCCAACAATTCCCAGGTGGAGATGGAGCCTGGAGCAGCCGATGGGAATTCCAGGAATTATGGATCGTGGGAATCAAAAGCGATTCCCAAAATCCATCCCAGACTCCCCAAATCCCTCCTAAATCCCTCCCTGAATTCCCAGTCCATCCCTCCCTTCCCACATCCATGAGCTCCCAAAACTCCTGTTCCCTGTTCACCACAATTCCAGACATTCCTGATATTGGGAATTCTTGGGAATCCAAGCAATTCCCAAAAAACAGCACAGCTACAGGAACTCCACACCCTGGGAATCAAAGCCATTCCCAAAAGCACCACAACTCCATGAATTCCAGACCTTGGGAATCCAAGCAATTCCCAAAAAACACCACAAGCCCAAGAGTTCCAGCTCTTGGGAATCCAGGAAACTCAAAAAACACAACAAGTCCAGGAATTCCCAAAAACACCACAAGCCCAAGAGTTCCAGCTCTTGGGAATCCAGAAAACTCTCAAGAAACACAAGTCCAGGAATTCCCAAAAAGCACCTTGGCTCCAGGAATTCCAGACCTTGGAAATCCAAGCCATTCCCAAAAAACACCACAAGTCCAGGAATTCCAGACCTTGGGAAAATCCCAAAAACACCACAACTCCACAGATGCGGTTGGGATCATCCTGAACTTCCCTGCCCACATTCCCAAAAATCAGCACATCCCAGAAACTGGCACATCCCAAAAATTTATGTGTCCCAAAAACAGGAGCATCCCAAAAATCTTTGTATCCCAAACACCAATGCATCTCAAAATCCAGGGCATCCCAAAAAATGATGCATCACAAAAATGGGCAGTTCCCAAAGTGGGAAAAATCCCAAAATGGGTGCATCCCAAAAAACAATGCATCCCAAAAATCAACTCTTAATCAACTCTTACCAAAAATCAGCACATCCTAAAATGAGCAAATCCCAAAAAATTTTGCATCCTAAAACTCAGAACATTCCAAAAATTGGCACATCCCAAAAATCAAGACATTCAAAAAATCCACACGTCCCAAAAATCAGCACGTCCCAAAAAAATGGACATATCCCAAAAATCTTTGCATCCCAAAAGTTGGAACATCCCAAAATGGGAACATCCCAGAAATCAGCACATCCCAAAAATCAACACATCCCAAAAATCAACACATCCCAAAATGGGCACATCCCAAAACCCTTCCCATCCTAAAATGGGTGCATCCCAAAAAACAGTGCATCCCAAACATCAGCAGATCCAGAATCGGTGCTTCCCAAAACTGGAAACATCCCAAAAATCAGCGTATCCCACAAATCAGCACATCCCAAAAACTGGCACTTTCTGAACAACAGCACATCCCAAAAATTGGCGCATCCCAAAATTGGTGCGTCCTGAAATTGGCACATCCCAAAAATCGGCACATCCCAAAAAATGGGCGCATCCCAAAAATCATTGCATCCCAAAAAATGGACATATCCCAAAAATCATTGCATCCCAACATCAACAAAAAATGCATCCCAGTGCATTCCAAAAACCAGCGTTTCCCAGAAACTGGTACATCCCAAAAAAAAGGGCACATCCTGAAAAAAAATGGAAACATCCCAAAAACCATTGCATCCCCAAAATGGGCACATCCCAAAATTGGTGCATCCTGAAATTGGCATATCCCAAAAATCGGCACATCTTAAAAAATAGACACATCCCAACAATCATTGCATCCCAAAAATCAGCATATCCCAACACCAACACATCCCAAAAATCAGCGCATCCCAAAACTGACGCATCCCGAAATTGATGCATCCTGGAAAACAGCACATTCCAAAAAACTGGCACATCCCAAAAATTGCTGCAGCTGAAAAGTCAACACATCCTAAAAACCCGGTACATCCCAACGTTCCCACCCGGAATTTTCCACCCTCCCCACTCCCACCATTCCCTCTCCTCCCTGGGGCTGCTCCGGCCCATCCCAAATCCCCAGAATCCCTGAAATCCCATAAACCAGCGCATCCCAAAAGACGGCACATCCCAAACATCGGTACATCCCAAAAATCCTGAAATTGGTGCATCCCAAAACCCCAATGTATCTCAAAAATCAGCACATCCCAAAAACTGGGAAATTCCAAAAAATGGGCATATCCCAAAAATTATTGCATCCCTAAATCAACGCATCCCAAAAATTGGCATATCCCAAAAACCAGCTCGCCCCAAAAAACTGCACATCCTGAAATTGGCACATCCCAAAAACTGGTACATCTCAAAAAATGGACACATCCCAAAAACTGGCACATCCCAAAAAATCGGCACATCCCAAAAAATGGACACATCCCAAAAACCAGCACATCCCAAAACCCAGCACATTCCAAACATCAAGACATCCCAAAGACGGGCACATCCCAAAAATGGGTACATCCTAAAAAAACAGCACGTCCCGAAATTGGCGCATCCCAAAAATCGGCACATCTTAAAAAATGGACACATCCCGAAAGTCATTCCATCCCAAAAACTGGCACATCCCAAAAATGGGCACATCCCAAAATCGGTGCATCCTGAAATTGTTGCATTCCAAAACCAGCCACGTCCCAATAAATGGAAACATCCCAAAAATCGTTGCATCCCAAAAACTGGCACATCCCAAAAATCATTGCATCCCAAAAACGGGCACATTCCAAACATCAACACATCCCAAAATTGGTGAATCCCAAAATTGGTGCATCCTGAAATTGGTGCATCCCAAAAAATGGCACATCTTAAAAAATGGACACATCCCAAAAATCATTGCATCCCAAAAACAGGCGCATCCCAAACATCCTTATATCCCATAAATCTATGGATCCTGAAGTCGCATTCCAAAACCAGGCACATCCCAAAAAATGGATACATCCCAAAAATCGTTGCATCCCGAATATGGGCACATCCCAAAAAATCAGTGAATCCCAAAAATTGGCGCATCCCAAAAAATGGAAACATCCCAAAAATTGGTGCATCCCAATACCAGGCACATCCCAAAAAACACACACACACCCCAAAACCGCCACATCCCAACCTTCCCACCCTGGAATTTTCCAGCCCCACCACTCCCTCTCCTGGCTGGGGCCGCTCCGGCCCATCCCGGGATTCCGGGAACGCCGGGAATTCCGGGAATTGCCGCTCACCCTTTTTGCGGGATCCCTCCTCGGAGTCGGGCTTGCGGCTGACGGACACGACTTTCATCAGGAGGTGATTCCCGCCCTGCCGGATCAGCGCCACCACCTGCTTGTGCCCCACCTTCACCACGTTCACTCCGTTCACCTGCATTCCCAAAAAAAAAAAAAAAGCCGGATCAGAATTCCCAGTTGGGGAAAAAAAACCCCAAAAAACAAACATGGAAGTCATCCGCAAAAATCCCGCTTTTCCCGGGTTTTTTTCCCATCTTTTTTTTTTTGTGCCGGTTGGGAGTTGCCACCCGATGATGGTGAGGAGGGAGAAGATTCCAAAAAAAATTCCCAGTTTCTTTCAGGCTTGGGAGAATCCCTCTGCTCTTCCAGCCCTGCGGATCCGGGAAATCCTGGAATGGGTTGGGAATGGCCTCAAATCCCATCCGGATCCGAGGGCAGGGACCTCCCGCTATCCCCGGCTGATCCCGGCTGGCCTCGGGCACTTCCAGGGATTCCCAGCCCTTGGAATGGGATTGAAGGTCCTTTCCCACCCAAAGCATTCCAGGAGATTCCATGATTTTGTGGAATTCCATCCCTTCATCCGGGAGCAGCCTGAGCTGCTGATGATCCCACACGATGATTCCTGGGAATTCCAAGTTTCCCAGAAGAAAGGAGCCGGAATGGGCTCAGGGCCATCCCTTGGGATGGACCCATGGGATAAACACGGAGCGTTGGGAAGAACTCCAGGAATTTTGGGATCAACCTTCAGCAGGAGGAAAGAGCGGAAATCCTGGAATTGCCATTCCAGAGAATTTGGGATTATCCAGGACTCTCCAGATCCCAAAATCCTACTGAGGATCCCGGCTCGGACCTTTCCCTCCTCTCCAAGTCCACCCCATTCCATGGGCAAGTTCCCATGGGATTTACTGGAATCCATGGAATGGTTTTCCAGGGAATTCTCTCATGTGCACTGAGCTCCTTCCAAACTGCCGGAATTCCACACCCACATTCCAGAGACAAGAATTCCTGGATCCTCATCCCTTTTCCCACCTCCTGAATCATTCCCAGATCCCGTCCCAATCCTGCTGGATCCATCCCCCATCTGGGAATTTCATGGGAATTTCAGGGAGCTTGGGAATTTTGTCCTCCCAGGAGCTGCCACGTCCAACTAAAAAAATCTGGGAGAAATCCAGAAATGTCTGGGAGAATTCCCTTTTCCCACGGGAATTCCTGAGCCTGGAATCTCCATTCCCTGCCTGGCAGGGTTTGCCGGAACGGGAAATTCCCAAGGTTCTCCCGTCAGCATTTCCTGGGTTGGGAATGAAATCCTGGAATCTGGGAATCCCTGGAAATCCCACCGGGAGCATTCCCAGAATTGCCATTCCCACGCCTGATCCATGGATTTGAAATCCCTCAGGAATGATGATTCCCACTGCCCTGCTCAGCCCATTCCCACCATTCCCACCATTCCCAACCTTCTCCATGAAGGATTTCCCCCAAATATTCCATCCCTGGCTCAGCTTGAGGCCATTCCCGCTCATCCCATCCCTTTTCCCTGGGATCAGATCCTGATTCCCACCCGGATCCAGCCAGGGAATTGTTGGGAATTGTCTCCCAACTCCTAATTGCATTTATTTCCATCCGAATCCCGTGGTTTTGAAGGAATTCCAACAAAACCCTTGGGATAACCTGAGCCCGATCTCCACCTCCACGGAATTCCTTGGGATTTCAATCCTGGAATTCCCTGTGCTCCCAACTCACCCCTGACTTGATTTCCCTCAACTCCACCCCTCTGGAAAACTGGGAGAGCCCAGTGCTCATCCCGAGCCTCCGGAATTCCAGGGCTGAGCAGCATTCCCAGACCCCCCTCCCGCAGATCTCCGGGATCCGCTCTCCCAGCCCGGTAATTTGGGAATGGATATTTTTAGGAATTCCTCTCTCCTTGGTTACTGGGAAACTTCGTGTTCCCAGAGACATCTCCCGGAGAAATCCGAGCTCGGAGCAGAACATTCCAGCTTTTTTTCCCCGCACCAGAATATCCCAAATTTTGAGCATTTCCATAAGAAAAAATGGAGCTGGATCAGCCTCTTCCCTCTTTTTTTTTTTTTTTTTTTTTTTTTTTTTTTTCGGGAGCTCCCAATGTTCCCAAATTCCCGATGATCCGAAATCCCGGCCTTTGATATTTCCTCGGATCCTTTTTATCAACCTCCCACGCTCCGGAGCCGGAATTATCCGCATTTCCTGCTTTTTTTGCTTCCTGACCTTTCCAGCAGGGAGAGGATCCGGGAATGTTTCTGCGTTCCCTCATTCCCACAATTCCAGAGGGGGAATTTTTTGTCCCAGAGGACTTTTCCCCCCATTTCCTGGATTTTTGGGCTCCATGTCCTTAATAAAAACTCTGGAATTTTGTTCATTTGGCTCATGGAATGGTTGGGGTTGGATTGTCCCATTCCCACCACTGCCCGGAGCAAGTTTTTTCCTCATTCCTAAAGAAAATAATGGAATTGTTGAGGCTGGAAAAGCCCTCAGAGACCACCACTAACTGACATTCCCAAATCCAGGTTTTTTTAAACATTCCCAAAGATTTGACTCCACTACCACCCCTTCCAAAGCTTCTCAACCTTTTCCATGGAGCAACATTCCCAAATATTCCATCCAAACCTCCCAAGAGGTGAGACCTTGGCAATTCCCCGGCCTGGCGCCGGGAATTTCCTCATGGAGCCATTCCTGGAATGTGGTTCATCAGATCATGGAATTGTTGGAAGCTGGAAAAGCCCACGGAGATCAAATCCCAGAATTCCCAGCTCTGCCAGTGCCACCCTGGATCCAGATCCCCCAAATCCGCTGGGATTTGATTCCCTCCAGGAGGAATTTTCCCAATTTTCAGCCTAAGCTGTGGCTGTTCCAGAGGCTGCTCCAGATTTTCCAGGAGGAATTCCAAATGGAATTCAGGCCTGGAATTGGCACCGAGGGCAGCCTGGGAGAGCTGCAGGAGAGACCCAATTCTCAAAGGGAATTTGGGGACTCCGGAGCCTCCGGATCCACAGCTGGAGAATTCCAGAACCTCCTAATCCTAGTTTGGAAAACTCCTGGAAGCTCCAACACCTGGGGGACTCTGGATCCCTCTGGATCCACACCTGGAAAACTCCTGGAAGCTCCAATGCCTGGAGGACACCGGAGCCCTCTGGATCCACAACTGCAGAATTCCAGACCCTCCTGATCCCAGCCTGGAAAACTCCTGGAAGTTCCATGACCTGGGGGACTCTGGATCCCTCTGGAGCAACACCTGGAGGATTTATGGAAGCTTGGAATCCGCAGGAATTTCCCCTTGAAAAGGGGGTCAGGCCTCGGCAGGGGCTGCCCAGGGAGGTTCGGAGTCCCCATCCCTGGAGGTGTCCAAGGAATTCCTGGAATTCCACTCAGCGCTCTGGGCTGGGGATTGGGCCCAGCTTGGACTCGGTGCCCTTGGAATTCTTTTCCAAGCCCAGGGATCCCGGGATTCTGAGGTTAGAAGAACACGGGAACAGCTCAAGGATTTTGGGAAGACTCTCCCGAACGCGGAGCAGGGACATTCCCGGTGCCGCACTGGCACCAAAAGGAAGTTCAGGGAATATGCGAGGCTGGAGCTGGGAAATTATCCATGGAAAAGGAAGAGAGGAGGAAAATCTGGAAATTGGATTTCATGGACAAAAGGAGCTCCCAAAGCTCAGAGGGAAAAGGACAATTCCCAGTGAGGAAGGAAGAGCTCAGGGAATTCCCAGAACAGCTCCTGAATCCACTGGAACGAATCCAGAGGAGGCCCTGGAGGTGCTGAAAGGCAGGAGCCCCTCTGGAGTCGGGTTGGGAAATCTGGGAATGCTCCCCTGGAGAAGGGAAGGATCCAGGGAGAGCTTCCAGCACATTCCAGGGGCTCCAGGAGAGCTGCAGAGGGACTGGGACAAGGCCTGAGGGACAGGACACAGGGAATGGCCCCCACTGCCAGAGGGATGGATGGGAGATTGGGAATGAGGAATTCCTGGCTGGGCTGGGATTGCCAGAGCAGCTGGGGCTGCCCCTGGATCCCTGGAATGTCCAAGGAAAGGTTGGAGCAGCCTGGGATCTCAGGAGGTGTCCAGGGGTTGGAAGTGGATGGGCTCTGAGGTTCTTCCAACCCAAACCACAAAAGGATTTGGGAATTGTGGAATCCTGGCCCATGGAATGCCGGCGGTGCCTCGGGAAGGGCCCCGAGCCCCCCTGGGCTGGGCAGGAGCTGCCGGGGATCCGTGCAGGGAGAGCCCGGGAAAAGTGGGATCTGCCCCGGGATCGGGGCAGGATCGGGAATGTCCTCCTGGCTCTGCCCAGCTCCTGCCAGGAGCCAGCGGGGATCGGGATCTGCTCCAGGGAATGAGCCCCGGGAAAAGAGGGAGCGGCCTCAGCCCGGGCCAGGGCAGGCTTGGATTGGATATTTGGGAATTTCTCCATGGAAAGGAGCCTCCAGCCATCCCAAATCCCTCCAGGCTTTGCTTTCCTCCTTCTCCTGCCAGGACAAGCAACAGTGGGAATATCCCAAATCTCTTCCCAGCTTTCCATGGAGACAGAGCCTGAAATCCTCAGCGGGGAGAAAATCGGGATCAGATTCCCACCCAGAGCACAACCAGCAGCACAAAATGCCAGAGATTCATCCCAAATGGAATCCTGGAATGGTTTGGGTGGGAAGGAACCTCAAAGCTCATTCCAGGGACACTTCCCACCATCCCAGGCTGCTCCAACCTTTCCTTGGACATTCCAGGGATCCAGGGGCAGCCCCAGCTGCTCTGGCAATCCCAGCCCAGCCAGGAATTCCTCATTCCCAATCTCCCATCCATCCATCCCTCTGGCAGTGGGAGCCATTCCCTGTGTCCTGTCCCTCCAGGCCTTGTCCCAGTCCCTCTGCAGCTCTCCTGGAGCCCCTGGAATGTTCTGGAAGCTCTCCCTGGATCCTTCCCTTCTCCAGGAGAACATTCCCATCTTTCCCAGCCTGGCAGGATCCATCTCAATCCCAACACTCCGCATATTCCATTGGAATCCCACTTTCCATGATCCCTTTCCAACCAAAGCAGTGCCTGGATTCAGTCCCTGAACCATTCCTTGGATTTCCCACTGGAAAACTATTTTTTCCCCTTTCCAAACTCCAGCTCTGTCCTGTTCCCACCTTCCCCATCCTGCATGGACTCGGGACACTGCAAATCCCATGGGAACATCCCAAGTTCCTCCTCCAGCCAGGAAAATCCCTAAGGCACTGACAAATCCAGGGGATCTCCTGAAATCCCGGTGTGTTCTCCACTGGATGGAGCAGTCACAATTCCAAGGGGATTCACCGGCACTGGGACTTTGGTTCTCTTGGGATCCACACCTGGAGAATTCCAGATCCTCCTGATCCACACCTGGAGAATTCCAGATCCTCCTGATCCACACCTGGGGAGCTCCTGGAAGCTCACGATCCACACCTGGAGGACACCGGGATCCCTCTGGATCCACACCCAAAGAACCTCTGGAAGTTCCATGACCTGGAGGAGTCTGGGTCCTCCCTCTCCATACCCGGTAGAATTCCAAAATTCCCGGGCAATTCCCAAAGTTCCTGGGGAAGGAGAGGAATTCCACGAGGAGCTCACCTCGATCAGAAAGTCCCCCGTGCGCAATCCCGCTCTCCAGGCGACTCCTTCCACATCCACGGATTCCAGGTACTGCAGCGCTGGGAATGCCGGCGTGGGCGTGAACTCCTCGATCGGGGTCTCGGCTGGAAAACACAACGGGAAGGGGAATTGAGGGATTTCCAAGGGAATTCCATAAGGGAAGGCTCAGCCCGTCCACAGCATTCCTAAAATCATGGAATTATGGAGATGGAAAAGCCTTGGAGTGGAACCATTCCCAGCAGTGCCAAGGCCACCATCGATCCGTGTCCCCAGGTGGACAATCCACATGGATTGGAATCCCACCCCTCGTCCTGGCCCTGCTCCCACCTCAGTGATGGAATCCAAGATGGAATCAATATTGGAATCCAATATGACATCAATAATGGAAATAATAATGGAACTAATAATGGAATCAGTGATGGCATCCAAGATGGAATCAATATTGGAATCAATCATGGAATCAATGAAGGAATCCAAGATGGAATCAATGATGGAATCCAAGATGGAATCAATGATGGAACTAATAATGGAATCAATGCTGAAATCCAAGATGGAACCAATATTGGAACAAATCATGGAATCGGTGAAGGAATCCAAGATGGAATCATTAATAGAATCAATAATGGAGTCAATCACGGAATTAATAATGGAATCAATGCTGGAATCAATGATGGACTCGATGGAATCAATAATGGAATAAATAAAGGAATCAATGCTGGAATCCAAGACAGAATCAATAATAGAATCAATAATGGAGTCAATGCTGGAATCAATGATGGAATTCAAGATTGAACCAATGATGGAAATAATGGAGGAATCCAAGATGGAATCAATTATGGAATCCAAGATGGAATCAATATTGGAATCAATCACGGAATCAATGAAGGAATCCAAGATGGAATCAATGATGGAACGAATAATGGAATCAGTGATGGAATCCAAGACAGAATCAATAATAGAATCAATAATGGAGTTAATAATGGAACTAATAATGGAATCAATGCTGGAATCCAAGATGGAATTCAAGAAGGAACCAGTGATGGAAATAATGAAGGAATTCAAGATGGAATCAATGATGGAAATAATAATGGAACTAATAATGGAATCAATGCTGAAATCAATAATGGAATCAATAATGGAATAATTAAAGGAAGCAATGCTGGAATCCAAGATGGAATTAATGAAGGAATCAATAAAAGAAGCAATGATGGAATCAATGATGGAATCAGTAGTGGAATCCAAGATCGAATAAAAAATGGAACCAATAATGGAATCAGTCATGGAATTATGGGTTGGAAAATCCCTTGGAGAACATAAAATCCAACCATTCCCAGCACTTCCGAGGCCACCCCTGATCCATGTCCCCAAGTGCCACATCCACATGGATTGAATCCCACCGGGAACGGGGATTCCACACACGTGCCAGGGCTGGAAAAGCCTTTCCAGGTGGGAATTTTCCCATTATCCAACCTGGAGGTGCCCTGGAACTTCTTGAGGTTGTGTCCCCTTGTCCCGGCCCTGCTCCCACCTCAGCGATGGAATTCAAGATGGAACCAAGGATGGAAATAATGAAAGAATCCAAGATGGGATCAGTGATGGAATCCAAGACGGAATCAAGAATGGAGCTAATAATGGAATCAGTCACCGAATTAATGGTGGAATCCAAGATGGAACCAGCGATGGAATCCATGATGGAGTCAATGATGGAATCCAAGATGGAATCCAAGATGTAATCCATGATGGAGTCAATGATGGAATCCATGATGGAACCAGTGATGGAATCTGTGATGGAATCAGTGATGGAGTCAATGATGGAATCTGAGATGGAATCAATGATGGAGTCACTGAGTCATTTGGGTTGGAAAATCCCTTGGAAAATCCCATTGGATCCAACCATTCCCACCACTCCCAAGGCCCCCCTGCCTGACATTCCATGGGCAAGGATTCCACAATTCCCCAATCCTGGTGAGGCCTGCCCGGGAAGGACCTCCCAGCCCATCCCGAGGATCCCCAGGATGAAGGAGATCCCACGGGCACAGCCCAGGGAGTTTTCCAAACATTTCCATTCCCAGGATCCGTGAATTCCACCCTGGGCTGACCCAAACCTTCAGTTCCTGGAATGGATCCTGAGGATCCACCCGGACCCGGCAAAGCTCCGACAAACGGGAGAAATTCCCGCTGGGATGATCCATCCTGAGGGAAATCCATCCCTTCAATCCTTCCCGCCTTCCTTATCCCAAGTTTTCCCCCATCCCTCTCACTTCCAGCCGAGTCCTTCCCACGGAGCCGCGGGCTCTCCTCATTCCCAAATCCATCAGGAGCGGATCAGGCGCCAGCAAAAATTCTCACCCCTACAAATTATCCCAATAAATGGATTTTTGGGAGCTGACGGAGCCCAGACCCCTGAGGTGACCCTGGTGGCCTCTCCTTTGATGTCCTTCCAGCAACATTCCCAACGTCCCCCTCCATTCCCGCCAAATCCAAGCCGCCGATTCCACACAGATCCAAGATTTTTCCTCCTCTCTCCGTTTTTCTCCCACATTTTAGGCGGGATTTTTCCACCCCGGCACGGATCGCACGCCGGGAACCTTTCCCTGCCACCCCTCCATGTGCTGAAGCTTCTCAGCTGCTTCCCACCAACGGCTTTCCACGATTTCTGCCTTTCCTGGGAGAAGTCGCAAACGCTTGACAGCTCATCCCTATTTTTAGACATTCCGACAGAATGTCGGAGCGCTCTCCAAATCCTCCAGGACCCTTCCAGGATTTCATCTCCCGCTATCCCAGGCTGCTCCAAGTGTCCGACCTGCCCTTGGACACTTTCAGGGATCCAGGGGCAGCCACGGATTCTCTGGGATAATTTTCACGGAGCAAATCCCAAATTCCCATGGACCCCATTGCATCCCATGCCAACCCATCCCCTGAGTTATCCATGTGTCATTCCAGGCGCTTTTCCAGCTTTTCCCATGGGCTGGGAGCCACCAGCCCACAGTGGGTGCACATCGTGATCCAGGATTTGGGAAGTGCAGCTGGAGCCTGAAGGATTTGGCAAATGGGAAAATGCTCAGGAATTAGGAATTGTCTCCCTATGGAATAATTCCGGGAGCAGAATTTCATCCAGGAGGGGACAAAGGGACACAGGGACAATTCCCACCATCCCAGGCTGCTCCAACTTTTCCTTGGACATTCCAGGGATCCAGGGGCAGCCCCAGCTGCTCTGGCAATCCCAGGGATCCAGGAATTCCTCATTCCCAATCTCCCATCCATCGCTGCCCTCTGGCAGTGGGAGCCATTCCCTGTGTCCTGTCCCTCCATCCTTGTCCCCAGTCCCTCTGCAGCTCTCCTGGAGCCCCTTCAGGCCCTGGAATGTGCTGGAAGCTCTCCCTGGATCCTTCTCCTCTCCAGGAGAACATTCCCAGTTTTTCAGAGGGAAGCTTATCCAATCTACTGGATTTGCTCCAGGATTTCCACGTCCTGCTGGTGTTTGGAGCACTGGAGCTCCCCCTGGAATGGTTTGGGTGGGATGAGACCCAAATCCCACCCAATTCCAACCCTTGGACACTTCCCCCTATTCCAGGTTGCTCCAAGCCCTGTCCTGGCCTTGGGAATTTTTCTCCCAGGTTTTACAACCCCTGGGACTGGAGAAGGAAGAGGACAAGGACATCCCTGCTCCCAGCAAATCCTGGGAATCCTGATCCACCTCTCCCAGCTTAGCCATTCCCAAAGCCAGTTTGGGACCAAACAATCCCAACCCAATCCAGGGAATGCTGCAGGTGTGGAAATCATGGAAAATCAATCCCTAAATGCCCTCCCAGGGAGGAAATCCAATGGGAAGAGTCTCCCATCCAATGGGAGAACCAAACCAAAAAGTTGGGAATTAAATCCAGGAAGTTCCCATTAGGAATGAGGGGACTTCCCTGACCAGGAGGTTCAGCCTTTCCCACCAAAACTCCAGACTCAGAATCCTGGGAAGCACCGTTGGAACCCCCTGAGGATCCACCACAGCCCTGGCTGGGGAATTGGGAACTCCTGGGCTTAAATTCCCACAATTCCCAGCTGGAATTCCAGAGCCAGCTGTGGGAGAAGCCCAGATAAATCAAACCCAACCTGAGGGACCAAATGTGATCTTGGGGAACCAAAATCCATCCAGGAGGACCGAATTCCATCCTGGAAGCAACGAATCCAATCCAGGGGGACCAAATTCCATCCAGGGGGACCAATTCCCATCCTGGAAGCACCAAATCCAATCCAGAAGATCCCAAATCCCATCCTGGAGAACCAAATCCCATCCTGGGAACACCAAATCCCATTCTGGGAACACCAAATCCCATCCTGGAAGCATCAAACCCAATCAGGAGGATCCCAAATTCCATCCTAGAGAACCAAATCCCATCCTAGAGAACCAAATCCCATCCAGGGGGACCAATTCCCATCCTGGAAGCACCAAATCAAATCCAGAGGATCCCAAATCCCATCCTAGAGAACCAAATCCCATCCTAGAGAACCAAATCCCATCCAGGGGGACCAATTCCCATCCTGGAAGCATCAAACCCAATCCAGAGGATCCCAAATCCCATCCTGGAAACACCAAATCCTATTAAGGGTAAATTAATTCCATGCTGGAAACACCAAATCCCATCCTGAGAAACCAAATCCAATCTCAGAGAACCAAATCCCATCCTGGAGAACTAAATCCCATCCTGGAGAACTAAATCCCATCCTGGAAGCACCAAATACCATCTCGGAAATACCAAATCCCATCTCAGAGAACAAAATTCCATCCTGAAAGCACCAAATCCATTCCAGAGAACCGGATCCCATCCAGGTCAGGCATTTGGAGCAGATCCCCATCCCACAGATCCCAAAAAGTTCCAAACTCAGGGAATTCCCAAAGGATCCTCCAATCCTCAATGGACCTCCCACAAGCTCCAAGCTCACAGAATTCCCAAAGGATCCACTGATTCCACGGATCCTGGGAAGTTCCGGGCTCAGGGAATTCCCACCTGGAATATCCGACCCCCAAGCCCAGTTCAAGGCTGTTCCCTCTCCTTTCCCTTGGGATTGGCTCCTTCAGAAGATCCACAGGAAGGAGTAATCTTGGGAATTTTGGGAATGACCCGATTCTCTCCAGGCAAACCAAGGAAAGCTCGTCCCATCCAGCAAAAACTTGGATTGGTTCCCATAATTTGGATTTTAGGACACACCCTCTATAAAATCATGGAATGGGTTGGGTGGGAAGGGACCTCAAAGCTCATCCCATTCCATGATCCCATTCCATGATCCCAGGCTGCTCTGACCTGGCCCTGGACAATTCCAGGGATCCAGGGAGAGCCACAGATTCTCTGGGAATTCCCAAGGGATTGGAGTGGGGGAAATGGGAATAACTCTGATCCCTGGGATGGAACGGGATGGGACATTCCCCTCAGGAATTGGGAAGAGCTGGAATTGGGATGGGCTGGGAAGGACCCCAGGGTGGGCAGAGCCTTTTCCCTGGAAGGGCTCCCATGGAATGGGAAAATTCCAGAGTGGAATTTGCAGCAGGAAGAGCAAATTCCTTTAGGGATCATCCCAAAATCCGCCTCCCTCCCCCCTGCCCGGGATGAAGATCCAGCCCTGCCTTTTCCAGCCCCTTTTCCCTCTTTTCCCCACAGGCTTGGAGTGGTTTTCCAGGAAAATCCAAAGGGAGAAGTGGTGACATCAACGGGACCAATTCCTGGTCTAAAATCCATGGAATCCCAGCCCGAAACCCATGGAATACTGGGATGATGGGGCTGGGAAAAGGGGAGGATTCCAAGCCACTTCCCTCACTTGGGAATGCTGCTCCAGAGGGAGCATTCCCAGATTCTGGATCTTCCATGCCAGGACCCCTCTGCATCCATGACCACCCTGTGTCCCACAGAATTCCTGAATCCCACAGAATTCCCGAATCCCAGCCTCAGCACACAAAGGGAAACCAGGAATGGCAGGAGATCCAGGAAGGAAAACAAAAATGGGGGAATAAAACAGGGAATGGGATTAAATTTCCCAGTTTTCCCAACACAAAAGCTGCAGGATTGATCCTGGGAAAAAACCCATGGATGCTGTTTTGGGCTCTGAAGTTTCACTTGGTGCTCCAGGGATGGGAAATCCATAGGGAACTGGAGCAAAATTCCCACTGGGATGCGAACCTTGGGAGAAGAGACAGAATGATGGAAATCCAGGAATTCTGGAAAATCCCATTCCAGCCTGGATCTGCAGCTCTTCCCAGCTTTCCACCCACATGGAAAACAGCTCCGCTGTCCCTCTGCTCCTGGGAATGCTGGGGGTGGAGAGGTCTCTCCATCCCGAGCTTTTCCCGCCTCCTCTTCCCTAAATCCATAGGAACATTCCCAAGCCTGCAAGGGATTCTCTTTTTCTGCAGCAAAAAGGTGGAATTCTGGCCAAAGGAGACATGGGAAACTCCCAGGAAAGATCCCAGCGCTGGGAGAACCCCGGGATGAGCTGGGAATGAGCTCCAGGTTGGGAGCAGCAGGAAAAGCTCTCCCGGTTTTCCCCAGGGATCCCAAAAGCCCCCAGCACTCCCTGGCCAAAATCCAGGGAAATCTCTGAGCAGTCCAACCCCAAAAAGCCACGGATGGAGCTGGGCAGGGGCTGTTCATCCCCACAGGGAAAAGGAGTGAAAATTCCCAAAAATTCCAAGCAGCATCCACACCAAAACCCCCAGGAAGTGGGAGAGGGAAAGGCAGAATGAAGAACAAAAATCCCTTTGGAGCCCCACAGAATTGTTGGGAATGGGGCTCTGGAGCTGAGCAGGGGCCATTCATCCCTCTGGGAAGAAAAGTGACAATTCCCAAAAATTCCCAGCAGCATCCACAGCAAAACGTCCCCAGATTCCGAGAGAGCCACGATGGCAGCAGGACACGGCACTGAACCGGAGAAATCCAGGGAGGAAAATCCCTTTGGAGCACCACAGGATTGCTGGGAATGAGAATCCCGAGCCGAGCAAGGGCTGTTAATTTCCACATGGAAAACGAGTGAAAATTCCCAAAAATTCCAAGGCAGCTCCAGCACCAAAATCCCCAAATTCCGAGAGATCCACGATGGCAGCAGGACACGGCAGTGAACCGGAGAAATCCGGGAAAGAAAATCCCCTTGGAGCCCCCCAGGATTACTGGGAATGAGGACCCCGAGCCGAGCAAGGGCTGTTCATTTCCACATGGAAAACGAGTGAAAATTCCCAAAAATTCCAAGGCAGCTCCAGCACCAAAATCCCCAAATTCCGAGAGAGCCACGATGGCAGCAGGACACGGCACAGAATCGGAGAAATCCAGGGAAGAAAATCCCCTTGGAGCCCCCCAGGATTATTGGGAATGAGGATCCCGAGCCGAGCAAGGGCTGTTCATTTCTACATGGGAAAGGAGTGAAAATTCCCAAAAATTCCAAGGTGCCACCAGCACCAAAATGCCCTAAACCCCAAACCACGACACTGCACAAGCCAGAGAGGAAAATCCCTTTGGAGCCCCCCGGGATTATTGGGAATGAAGATCCTGAGCAGAGCAAGGGCTGTTCATTTCCACATGGAAAAGGAGTGAAAATTCCCAAAAATTCCAAGGTGCCTCCAGCACAAAACCCCCAAAATTCCAAGAGAGCCACGATGGCAGCAGGACACGGCACTGAACCGGAGAAATCCAGGGAAGAAAATCCCCTTGGAGCCCCCCAGGATTATTGGGAATGAGGACCCTGAGCCGAGCAAGGGCTGTTCATTTCTACGTGGAAAACGAGTGAAAATTCCCAAAAATTCCAAGGCACCACCAGCACCAAAATCCCCTAAACCCCAAACCACGACACCGAACAAGCCAGGCAGGAAAATCCCTTTGGAGCCCCCCCAAAATTATTGAGAATGAAGATCCTGAGCAGAGCAAGGGTTGTTCATTTCTACATGGAAAAGCAGCGACAATTCCCAAAAATTCCAAGGCAGCTCCAGCACCAATTCCCCCAAATTCCGAGAGAGCCATGATGGCAGCAGGACACGGCACAGAATCAGAGAAATCCAGGGAAGAAAATCCCCTTGGAGCCCTCCAGGATTACTGGGAATGAGGACCCTGAGCAGAGCAAGGGCTGTTCATTTCCACATGGAAAATGAGTGAAAATTCCCAAAAATTCCAAGGTGCCACCAGCACCAAAGCCCCCAAATTCTGAGAGAGCCACGATGGCAGCAGGACACGGCACAGAATCGGAGAAATCCAGGGAAGAAAATCCCCTTGGAGCCCCACAGGATTACCGGGAATGAGGACCCTGAGCCGAGCAAGGGCTGTTCATTCCTACATGAAAAACGAGTGAAAATTCCCAAAAATTCCAAGGTGCCACCAGCACCAAAATCCCCAAAACTCCAAACCCACAACCCCACTCCAATCCCCCCTCAAAATGCAGCACAACCACGCCGCTTCCCGGAAAAAAAAAAAAACAAAAAACAAAAAAAAAACAAAAAAAAGGTAAAAAAATCGCTGTTGGAAAAATAAAATATCCCGGGAAAAAAAAACCTCTGGAAAAGCGGCTCCGGGCTTACCTTTGGCCCCACGCAGGACGAAGCCGAAGCCCTCATGCTCCCGCTTCTGCAGCACGGCCGTCTTCTCCTCGATGATGTAGTCACTGGGCAGGAAAGAGCACAAGAGAATGATGCCCGGGTTAGAGCGCAGCACCATCGCTGCCACGTCGGGGTGGCCTTTGTCGCCAGCCGGGGGTGGCCCTGTCACCAGCCGGGGGTGGCCTTTGTCACCAGCCAGGGGTGGCCTTTGTCACTCTTCGCAGCCAGCCTTTCATCTCCGCAGGGATCGTTGCTTCCCCTCCCGTTCTCCTTCTTTCTTTCTCTCTCTCTTTTTTTTTTTCTTTCTTTTTTCTCCTGGATTTTTTTCTCTCTCTCCCGGATTTTTTGTGCCCAAAGTCACACCAAAAAGACGGAAGCGACTTTTGCCTCGGCGTGGAGGAGGAGGAGGAAAAGGAGGAAAAGGAGGAGGGAATTATTAAAAAAAAAATATATATATATATATAAAAAAATCGTGGATGTCCCTGCTGCCCACCGGGTCCCTCGCAGTCACCTGCAGAGGAATGCAGGGATACGAGCCCTCGCAGGAATGCAGGGATACGGAGCCCACGCAGGAATTTCGGGAATTTCGGGATCCGTTAAAAGCGGAGCCCCATCGGGAATCGTCTCTTCCCACACTCGCCGCGCGCGTCTCCCGCGGGAATAAAAATCGGGATTCTCGGGTGGAAGCGGCGCTGCCTCCTCGCCGGAGCGGGGCAGAGTTTAAATCCTCATCCCGGAGGATTTGATCCCGAAATTCCCCCCCTCGGGCGTTGCTAAGTGACGGATTGCCGGGAGCCGGAGGGAAGGAGCATCCTTGGGAAAAACCGGGAATGATCCAGCGATGGATGGAGGGATGGAGGGAAGGAGGGAGGGGACCCCCTCCCCAAATGGGCTCTAGGAGGGGGAGGGGGCCGCAGGTCCCTCCCAGCGGAGCCGCAGGGCTGACATCAGAGCCGGGAAAATCCGGGAAAGACGGGAAGCGGCTCGGGAAGGAGCCGGGAAGTGGGAGAGGAGAGGAGGGAGCGAGGGGAGGGATGGGGAGATGGAGAAGGTTTGGGAATATTGGAGAGGGATGGGAGGGATGGGAACAATGGGAGCGAGGGGAGGGATGGAGAGATGGAGAAGGTTTGGGAATATCGGAGAGGGATGGGAGAGATGGGAACAATGGGAGGGATGGGGAGGGATGGAGAAGAATTGGGAATATTGGAGAGGGATGGGAACGATGGGAACAATGGGAAGGATGGGAAAGGATGGGAAGGGATGGGAACAATGGGAGGGATGGAAAAGAATTGGGAATATTGGAAAGGGATGGGAGAGATGGAAACAATGGAAGGAATGAGGAGAGATGGAGAAGGTTTGGGAATATTGGACAGGGATGGGAGAGATGGGAACAATGGGAGGGATGAGGAGAGATGGAGAAGGTTTGGGAATATTGGACAGGGATGGGGAACAATGGGAGGGATGGAGAGATGGAGAAGAATTGGGAATATTGGAAAGGGATGGGAGAGATGGAAACAATGGAAGGGATGAGGAGAGATGGAGAAGTCTTGGGAATATTGGACAGGGATAGGGAACAATGGGAGGGATGGAGAGATGGAGAAGAATTGGGAATATTGGAGAGGGGTGGGAGGGATGGGAACAATGGGAGGGATGGGAAAGGATGGGAAGGGATGGGAACAATGGGAGGGATGAGGAGATATGGAGAAGGTTTGGGAATATTGGAGAGGGGTAAGGAGGGATGGGAACAATGGGAGGGATGGAGAAGAATTGGGAATATTGGAGAGGGGTGGGAGGGATGGGAACAATGGAAGGGATGAGGGGGAATGGGGAGGGATGGACAGACGGGGAATTATTTGGAATATTGGAGAGGGATGGGAGGGATGGGAACAATGGGAGTGATGAGAAGAGATGGAGTGATGAGGAGAGATGGAGGTTTGGGAATATCAGAGAGGGATGGGAGGGATGGGAACAATGGGAGTGATGAGGAGAGATGGAGGTTTGGGAATATCAGAGAGGGATGGGAGGGATGGGAACAATGGGAGAGATGGAGAAGAATTGGGAATATTGGAGAGGGGTGGGAGAGATGGGAACAATGGGAGAAATGAGGATAGATGGAGGTTTGGGAATATTGGAGAGGGATAAGGAGGGATGGGGAAGGATAGGGAGGGATGGAAAAGGTTTGGGAATATTGGAGAGGAGCAGGGAGGGTTGGGAGAGGTGGGAGGGATGAGAAGGGATGGAAAAGGATTGGGAATACTGGAGAGGGATAAGGAGGGATGGAGAGATGGGAATGGATGGGAGGGATGGGAATGTTGGGGAATGGTTGGGAATATTGGAAAGGGATGGGGAGGGGTGGGAACAATGGAAATGATTGGGAAGGACGGGAGAGATGGGAACAATGGGAATGTTGGGGAGGGATAAAGAGGGATGAAGGATTATTGGGAATTATTGGAGAGGGATGGGAAGGGATGGGAACGATGGGAATATTGGGGAGGGATTGGGAGAGATGGGAGAAATGGGATCAGTGGGAGTGCTGGGAATGTTGGGAAGAGTTGGGGAATGCTGGGGAGTGATGGAAGCAATGGGAATGATGGGAATAATGGGAATAATGGGAACGACAGGAATGTTGGGGGACAATGGAATTATGGGAATGACGGGAATGACAGGAAACAACAGGAATGATGGGAACAATAGGAAAGACAGGAGGAACTGGAAAAAAAAGGGAAAAGTTGGGAGAAAACAGGAAGAGAAGGGGAACAACAGGAATGACAGCGTCATTCCATGGAAATGGGAATGTGGAGGGAGGGAAGGAAGGAAAACTCTTCCTGGAAAGGTTTCTCTGGAATCCCACTGGGAGCATTCCCGAGCCTCTGGAATTGTCCGGGAGCAGCGGCTTTTGGGATCAGTTCCTGCTCTCAGGGAGTGTCAGGAATTCCGGGAATCATGGAATGGTTTGGGTGGGAAGGGACTTCAAGCTCCTGGAATTCCGTCCCATTCCATGATCCCAGGCTGCTCCAGCCTGGCCTTGGAAGCTTCCCGGGATCCAGAGGAATCCATGATCCCATTCTTTGAACAAAACAGGTTGGAAAATCTCAGTTCCATGGAAAACTGGGAATTCTGGCCCGAGGACACTGGAAGGGCTCTGTGGAGCTGCTTTTCCCATTCCATGGGATTTGGGAAGGAATTCCTGGCTGGGAGGGTGGGCAGGAGTTGGGATGGAATTCCAAGGGTTGGAATTGGAGGGGATTCCAGCTCCATTCCCACCCAACCCGTTCCAGGATTCTCCCATGGAATTTCCATCTCAGCAGCGCATTCCCAGGCCTGGAGGTGTCCAGGGAATTCCTGGAATTCCAGCTCTGGGTTGGGATCGGGCCCAGCTTGGCCTCAGTGACCCCGGAGGGCTTTTCCCACCTCAGGAATTCCATGGATTTTAGGATTTCTCCATCAGCTTCAGCCAAACTCATTTTCCTTGAGGAATCCAAAAATTCCCAGGGAAGTGGAATCCCTCTCCAGCCACTCCAACATTCCAGCGTTTTCCTGGGAAGCTGGGACACCTTCCAATGGTTTTCCCATGGGAATAACCAAGTGGATCCATGAAAACTTGATTTTACTTCCCGATTTCTCCCTTTTCCTTTAGAATCCCAGGATCTGGGTGGGAAAAGGGATTCAGGATCATTCCATGGGCAGGGACAATTCCCACTGTTTTTTTTCCAACCGGCCTGGAATTCTTCCAGGTGTCTCCTGGATGGTTTTTCCGGCTGTTCCCCAAACTTTGGGAATGTGGGCGGAGCGTTACCTCAGCGGGATCGGCGTCACCGGGAATGTGGGCAGGATCCAGGTGTGGGATCCGAGCCCGGAGCGTCACCGGAGCCTCGGGAAGCGTGGGAGCCGTGGGAGCCGGGATGAATCACGGCTCCATTGATTCCCGCAATTCCATGGATTCTAAAAAGAGCTGGAATTGCCGGGGGTGGCGCTGAGACCAACGCCCACCTTTAACTCCCCGCGTTCCGTAGGGATGAAGAATTCCCAGGATTCCAGCTCCCATTCCAGGTTTTCCGCTTGGCCTCGGGCACCAAAGGGTGGGATGGTGGTGGCTTCTCCAGGAGTTCCTTTTCCAGGCTTTTTCCATGGGTTTTCCACAGTTTTGCCTGATCCAAACCTGACCTTTAACTCCCGGCATTCCACAGGGACGGGGAAAATTCCAGACCCATTCCAGCTCCCATTCCCGGCCTCATTCCAACTCCCATTCCCGGTTTTCCGCTTGGCCTTGGGTGCTAAAGGCTGGGATGGTGGCGGCCTCTCCAGGAATTCCTTTTCCAATCTTTTTCCATGGGGTTTTTCCATAGTTCTCCTTGATCCAATGCCCACTTTTAAGTCCCAGCATTCCCCAGGGACAGGGAAAATTCCAGGTCCCATTCCCAATCCTCTTCCAGATCCCATTCCTGGTCCAATTCCAGCTCCAGGAATTCCTTTTCCAAGGGTTTTCCATAGTTTTGCCTGACCCAAAGCCCACCTTTAATTCCCGGTGTTCCACAGGGAGAGGGAGAATTCCAGATTCCCATTCCAGGTCCCATTCCCGATCCCATTCCCAGCTGATTCCAGGTGGAATTCCAATGGAAACTCAGCCCCTTCGGATGGGGGAATTCCAGCTTTGGAAACATGGGAAGGAATTCCCAGATTTCCAGAGGGATGGGAGAAGAGGCAACAAGACCAAGGAAATCTCAGGAATTACAGGGAAATCCAAGGAAAATTTTTCCCATTGGAAGTTCACCTCCCTTTGCCTGTGGAATTTCCAGCCTTGGAAACACGGGAAGGAATTCCCAGATTTCCCAGCTCCAGGAAAATGATTCTGTAATTCCAACCCCCATTGTTCCATAATCCCATCATTCCAACTGCCGTAATTCCATCATTTTCCGTCTCCACACATTTCTCCAGCCCCGGCATTCCAGGATTGAGAAATTCCCTTTTTCCCCTCCGTGTTCTCCATGTTTTCCATGTTTTCCCTGTTTTCTGGTGAAATCCCTCTCCCTAATCCCTGACACAAATCCGAGATTGGCTCCTGATCCCGATTTTTCCCCTTCCCAGCTGCTCCCAGCTTTAATTCCCAAATTAATTTGGAGCCTCTTTAATCCCTCCCTTTAATTCCGAAGGCAATTCCCACCGGGATTTCTCTTCCGGATTAAGCCGAGCTCGGATTTGTCCCCTCCAGGTGAATTTTTCTGAGTTCTGTCCCCTTTTTCCCATTTCCAGAGTTTTGGAACGACCGGAATTTTGGGAGCATCCAGCACATCCCGGATCCTCCTTGGAGGGATTCCTGATTCCAAAGGAAATCTGGGAATGGTGGGAATTCCATCCCAGGGGAGTTTTTCCAGCTCCAATCCAGATTTATCCCGAAATTTCTGGGGATGTCGCATCATTCCAAAGCATTCCATGACCCCACAATTCCATCATTCCCAATCTCCATAATTCCCAACAACTCCATGGTCCCACAGAATCCATAATCCAGAATTTTGGGATTTTCCCTTTCCCAATGATTCCTCAAATTCCCCAGATTTTCTCTGGGAGCCTCTGCCTGGAATCCAAACAATTCCCAAAGGATTTCCTGGAGCGGGATCAGTCCAAGCCCTCCCTGTGGATCCAATCCCACTCCGGGCTCTTCCCAAGGTTTTTTCCTGATCCCGCTCCTTAAATTCCTCTTAAATTTGCCTTAGGCCAAGGAATGGCGTGGATCCATGGAATTCTGGGAATCTTGGAGCTCATCCACAACATTTTCCTGCTTTTTTTGAGCTCCTTATCCCAAATTTTGCTCCCCTGAGCACTCCCAACTCCAAGGAATTAGTGGAATTTTGGGAATTTTCCCAAGTTTTTTTCCATGCTGGATCCAGCTCCTGAAATTCCCCTTCCCGCCCCACTCATCCACTGGAATTCCCAGGAATTTTTCCCCAGTGAAAATTCCCAGGAAATCCAACTCCTGGGCAAGAGCTCCTCCTGGTGTTTTCCCAGGATGTGATTCCCAAAGGAAATCCCTTTTCCCGGGATTCCCATGGATTCAATCCCATTTTTTCTTCCTCTTAACTGTTGGAATTTCGCCTCATCCATGAATTCCCACTTTTTTCTCTGCTCTTCCCATGATCCCAGCAGGGATTTTCCAGAGCTTCCCTTCATTTTTCCCTCCGTTTTCCCTCTTCCCTGATTTTTCCAACAGAAATGGTCCTGGAGCAGCAAATCCTGGGAATTTTAAGGATCCACCCAAATTCCACCAATTCAGAGTCAGGAATGCTCCGGGAAGCAAAATTTGGGATAAGGAGCTCAAAAAAAAAGCAGGAAAATGTTGTGGATCAGCTCCAAGATTCCCAGAATTCCATGGATCCTTCCAAGGAGAGAGCGCTCCTCTGGATCCGATGGGTTTGGGAATTTGGGAACTTCCATGGAAAAAGGGAAAAATTCCCCATTCCAGAGGAAGCAGCTGCTCATCCCTCCGGGAATTCCAGAGCTCTGGAACATTCCCAATTCCAACCCCTTCCCATTCCCGCTCCCAAATCCACCGGGAAAAGCCAGAGTCCAGGAATGTCCCACCCAGGAATGCGCTCACATTCCCAAACTTTTCCAGAACCTTGGATTCTCCATTGGGACTCGAGACGAGAATAGGAAACATTCCCAAACTTCTCCAGAACTTTGGATCCATCACTGGGAAATGAGTCAGGAATGGGAAACATTCCCAGACTTTTCCAGAATGTTGGATTCTCCCCTGGGAAATGAGCTGGGAATGTTTCACATTCCCAAACTTTGGATTCTCCAGTGGGACAGGAGCCTGGAATGGGAGCACATTCCCAAACTTTTCTGGAACCTTGGATCCTCCCCTGGGACACAAGCTGGGAATGTTTCACATTCCCAAACTTCTCCAGAACTTTGGATCATCCCCTGGAATTTGGGCTGGGAATGTGAAACATTCCCAGATTTTCCTGGAATTTTGGATTCTCCACTGGGACAGGAGCCTGGAATGGGAGCACATTCCCAAACTTCTCCAGAACCTTGGATCCTCCACTGAGACACAAACCAGGAATGGGAAACATTCCCAGAATTTTCCAGAATGTTGGATCACCCATTGGAATATGAGCCAGGAATGCGGCCACATTCCCAGAATTCCCCAAAACCTTGGATCCTGCCCAGGGACCCCACCCTGGAATTCCTCCCACGGCCCAAAACTTCTGGAAAAATCCCTTTCCCATGGAATTCCAAACCTCTGTGAGGAAAAGGGCGGGTTTTTCCATGGAAGCAGGAATTCCCGGAATTCCCGGGATTCCCGGGAGCGGCTCCTTACCTGTGGGAGGTGAAGTTGTCGTAGGATCCGACGGTGTAGTGCCGGAAAAGCCGCTTGGTCCGGTCCTCCCTGGTTTCTGTGGGAAAAATCCACATCCCAAATTATTCCCGGCTTTTCCCACCTTCCCAAGGGATCCCCAAAACCCGGGAATTCCATCCCAGGAGGGAATTTTTTCTGTGGATGAGGAGAATCGGAGTCCCACACGTGGCCGAGGAATTCCTGGGAATGTTTTGGGATAGAATCCATGGGATTTATGGGATAGGATAGGATCCATGGAGCCATTCCTGGAAATCATCCAGGGGGGAATTCCAAGGAAAAGGAGAAGCATGGGAAGCTCCCAGGCAATGGCAGCACGTGGAATAAAAACCGGGAATTTCCAACATGGATCAGGCTGGGAAAATCCTCACGGGTCTGAGGGGTCTCTGATTCCAGAGGGAAATTCCAAGGAAAAGCTTGGGAAGCTCCCGCTTGGCACCAGGAGACGGCAGCAGGGAGCAGCTGATCCAGGAATGATTCCCGATGGGAATGAGGAGAGGAAAATGGGAAGGGGAAAGGAAAAAAGGGAAAGGGAAATCTGGGAAATCCGGGAAAAGGGAGGGAAAAAAAAGGAGGGAAAAAAAGGGAGGGAAAAAAAGGGAGGGAAAAAAAGGGAGGGAAAAGGGAAAGGGAAAAGGGAAAGGGAAAGGGAAAAGGGAAAAGGGAAAAGGGAAAAGGGAAAAGGGAAAAGGGAAAAAGAGGGAAAAAAGAGGGAAAAAAGAGGGAAAAAAGAGGGAAAAAGAGGGAAAAAGAGGGAAAAAAGAGGGAAAAGGGAGGGAGGGAAGAAATTCCCAGCAGATCCTGAATTCCCAGCAGATCCCGACAGCTCCAGGAGCTGATTCATCCAGCCCTGGCATTTCCCAGCACTTCCCATTCCACCGGGAATTCAGGAATTCTCGTGCCATTCCATCCCTCTGGAATTCCCGATCCCCCTCATCCCTCGGGATGTTTTCCCTGATCCCATTCCCAAGGAAAAGTTGGGATTTCTGGGCTGTCCAGGGCCCGGCGGCTCCGCGGCCTTCCCGGATCCCAAAAATAGCAGCGCCTGTAATGGAGCCGTCACGGAGCCTCCGGAGCTGATGGACGGATCCGGGAGCAGCCGGATCCGCAGGGACACGGAGCGGCTCAGATTCATGGGAATGACCCGGAGTAACCAGGATGGGATCTGTGGGATTTGTGGGATCTGTGGGATCTGTGGGATCTGTGGGATCTGTGGGATGGGATCTGTGGGATCTGTGGGATGGGATCTGTGGGATGGGATTCACAGGATCCACAGGATAGAATCCATGGGATGGGATTTATGGGATCCATGGGATGGGATCCATGGGATAGAATCCATGGGATTTATGGGATCCATGGGATTTATGGGATCCATGGGATAGAATCCATGGGATGGGATCCATGGGATAGAATCCATGGGATGGGATCCATGGGATTTATGGGATCCATGGGATAGAATCCGTGGGATGGGATCCATGGGATTTAGGGATAGAATCCAGGGAATGGGATGGGATCCATGGGATTTATGGGATCCATGGGATAGAATCCATGGGATGGGATCCATGGGATTTAGGGATAGAATCCATGGAATGGGATGGGATGGGATCCATGGGATGGGATCCAAAGGATAGAATCCATGGGGTGGGATCCATGGGATTTATGGGATCCATGGGATAGAATCCATGGGATAGAATCCATGGGATTTATGGGATCCATGGGATTTATGGGATGGGATCCATGGGATTTATGGATCCATGGGATAGAATCCATGGGATGGGATCCATGGGATTTATGGGATCCATGGGATTTATGGGATCCATGGGATTTATGGGATCCATGGGATAGAATCCATGGGATTTATGGGATCCATGGGATTTATGGGATCCATGGGATTTAGGGATAGAATCCATGGGATGGGATCCATGGGATCCATGGGATGGGATCCAAGGGATAGAATCCATGGGATAGAATCCATGGGATTTATGGGATCCATGGGATAGAATCCATGGGATGGGATCCATGGGATAGAATCCATGGAATGGGATGGGATGGGATCCATGGGATGGGATCCAAGGGATAGAATCCATGGGATGGGACAGGACTGAAGGAATCTGGGATAGCGGAAGGTTTCCATAGGGAATGGGATCAAGATGGGCTTTAAAACCCTTCCCAACCTAAACATTCCATGAATCCATGACCAAAATCCTTTTGAATTAGGGTCTGGAATAATTCTGGGATCTGCTTGGATCTGCCTGGCCAAGGGATGGGGGAGAAATTTGGGAAAAGCCCGGATCTCAGCATCCTGATTAAATCCATGGAAAAAGGATCATCCTGCTTTTTCCTGGGATAATGGACAGCTGGAAAATCATCAGGAATTCCATCCCATTCCATCATGGGATGGAATTCCATGGGATGCTCTTCCAGCAGGAATCCAGGAAGGGGGAATGCTGGGGAAAAGCTGGAAAAACAACCAGGAATGCCTCATCCTCTTTTTTTTTCTTCCCTGGGAATCAACCCCAGTTTGCAAATAAGGAGGGAAAAAAATCCCCTTTGGAATGTGGGGAGATCCCTTTTCCTTCTGTCTGGAATTCTGGTTCCACAGAGAGTTTGGAATCTGCTGAATTCCATTGAAAGGGAAGATTCCTGACCCTTGAATTCTTGGGGAATGGGATTTTTCTTTCATTTATTTTGGATCCAGGCAGGGAATTGTGGAATCCCAGAATTCCAGAGGTTGGGAGAGAATTCCAAGATCACCAAGTCTAAGCTGGGGGCCATCCCAGCCCTGAGTGGAATTCCAGGAATTCCTCGGACACCTCCATGGATGGCGACTCCAAAGCTCCCTGGGCAGCCCCTGCCAAGGCCTGACCCCCTTTCCATGGGGAAATTCCCAAAAATCCAATCCCAACCTCCCCCAGCCCAAGCTGAGGCCATTCCCTCTTTCCCTGTCTTTTCATCCCTGGGAGCAGATCCCAATCCCACCTCGGATCCTGGCAGGATGTTGGGAAAAGGGACAAACCCCCCCTGGATCCTCCTTTTCCCAGGCATGGAAAACTCCTCTTAAGCGGACTAGGAATTCCTTTGGAATTCTGGAATTCCCATCAGAGCTGGGGCAGTTCCCACCACTTCTGTGGATCATCCTGGATTTTCCCTCTTTTCCAGGCAGGACAATCCAAATTTTCCCAGTTTTCCCTCCTCTCCCACCCCTCCATCATCCCAAACTCTCCATTCCTGCGGAATATCCCGATAATGGATCCATGATTGGAACTCATCCCTTGGGATACAATTCCCACAATTCCCTGGAGTTTGGAACCATTCCCTGTCTCACATCCCTCCATCCCTTGGAAATATTCCCAATATTCCCACTTTTCACCCTTCCCATGGCTCCTTCAGGCCCTGGACGCCACAATTGGATCATCCTGGATTTTCCCGCTTTTCCAGGCTGGACCAATCCCAGTTTTCCCAGTTTTCCCTCTGCTCCCACCCCAACCACTCCAAAACTCTCCCTGATGATGACTCCATGACCGGAATGGATCCCTTGGGATACAATTCCCACAATTCCCTCCAGCCCCACCCCACCAAATCTGATGGAATCTGGTGATTCCATCAGGAATTCCAGCCGGAATTCCGGGATACCAACCTTTTCCAACTGACCAATCCCAATTTTCCCGGTTTTCCCTCTGCTCCCACCCCTCCACCATCCCAAACTCTCCATTCCTGCGGAATATCCCGATAATGGACCCATGATTGGAATTGACCCCTTGGGATACAATTCCCGCAATTCCCTCCATCCCCGCCGCCCAGAAGGAGCGCTCCGGTGATTCCGTGGGGGAATTCCAGCCGGAATTCCGGGATACCGACCTTGCCTGGAGTCGTACTGGCGCATCTGCACCTCCTCCACGCATTCCGCCGGGAACCAGCCGCTCCTGCCCTTCACGGAGCCTTCCCAGAATCCGCCCTCGCCGATGCTCAGCACTGCGGAAAACCGGGATCGGGAGTCAGGGGGGAATCCCGGGAAAAGGGGATTTGGGATGGCGGAGGTGCCGCGGGAATCCGGGAAGGAAAACCAGAGGGAAGCTGAGGGACGTGGAGTTTTCCACGGGTTTAGTTCCTATGGGAAAATCTGGAATTCCTGGGTTTTCCCACTCTGGATGCCAGAATTCCCATCATTTCCCCACTCTGGGTGCATAAATTTCCAAATTCCTGTTTTTTCTCTCACTCTGGATGCCCCATTCCCAACTTTTCACACTCCGGATCTCCAAATTCTCCAACTGCCCCACTCACGACCAAATCCCAAATTTTCCTACTGTGGATACCCAATTCCTGATTTTTCACACTCTGGACACCCAAATTCCCAAATTGTCCCACTCTGGACACATAATTCCTGATTTTTCACACTCTGGACACCCAAATTCCCAAATTGTCCCACTCTGGACACATAATTCCTGATTTTTTACGTTCTGGACACTCAAATTCCCAAATTGTCCCACTCTGGAGGCCCAAATGCCTGGATTTTCCACTCTGGATGCCAAAATTCCCAAAGTGTCCCACTCTAAATGCCTTCATCCCAAATTTTCCCAGACTGGGTGCCTGAATTCCTGAATTTTCCCGCTCTGGATGTCCGGATTCCTGAATTGTGCCACTCAGGATCCCCAAATTCCAGCAGCACCTTCCCGGTGTTCCCCAGGTGTGAATTCACTCGGGGCTGTCCAGATCCTGGAATTCCAGAGGCTGGAAAAGCCCTCCTGGATCACCGAGCCCCAGCTGGGCCTGATCCCAGCTCTGAGTGGAATTCCAGGAATTCCTCAGGCACCTCCAGGGATGGGCACTCCAAACCTCCCTGGGCAGCCCCTGCCAAGGTCTGACCCCCTTTCCATGGAAAAATTCCCAAACATCCAATCCCAACCTCCCCTGGCCCGGGCTGAGCTGCTCCCTCTTTTCCTGGAGCTCATTCCCTGGAGCAAATCCCGATCCAAAGGCTGAGGTTGGGTGGATCCCAAATTTCCGCCGATTTTATGGAATCCTGGAATGGTTTAGGTGGGGCGGGACCTCAAATCCCATCTCATTCCAAGGGCAGGAAAAGATCCCATTATCCCAGGGGGCTCCAAGCTTTGGAAATTTCCAGGGATCCTGGAGCTGGAGCCAGGCTGGGAGAGCTGGGAATGTTCCCCTGGAGAAGGGAAGGATCCAGGGAGAGCTTCCAGAACATTCCAGGGCCTGAAGGGGCTCCAGGAGAGCTGAAATTTGGGAAAGGCCTGGAGGGACAGGCTGGAGAGCTGGGAATGGAGGGAATTCCCTGGGAAAGGGAGTTTGGAGTGGGAGTTTGGGAATGAGGAATTCCCAGAGCAGCCCCTGAATCCCTGGAATGCCCAAGGAAAGGCTGGAGCGGCCTGGGATTGTGAGAATTTCCCTGCCCTTGGAATGGGATTTGAGGTCTCTTCCCACCAAACCATCCCAGGATTCCAGAAAAGGAAAAAAAACCCCAGGAATTCCTGTGGGATTTGCTGCCCCATTCCCGCATTTCTCCCGATGCTTTATCCCAGCTCCCATTCCTGCAGATCCATCAGAGCTAATCCCAAATTTCTTCAGGCATCCGGAAATCCAGCCCTGCTCCATCCATCCCAAAGAATTCCCAGAAGGATCCAGGAATTAAATCCTGCCTGGAGGCATCCAAGAAAAAACAAATCCAAGGAAAAGCCAAACAGCAAAATCCTTTCAGGCTCCTCCAGGGGTTTTTTTTGGGATGCAAATTCTCCGGCTCTCCAAAGGTTTCGGTGCTGTCAAGCCTTGGAATGATCCCAAATCCCGGAATTTGCTCAATTCCCACTGCTCCGCTCCCCTGGATGATTCCTGCTTTGGAGCCCTTTGGAATTCTGGCCTCCCAGGAATGAATTTTGGGATTTAGGGCTTCACTCCAAACATCCCTGGGCAGCCCTTTCCAAGGTCTGACCCCCTTTCCATGGAAAAATATTCCCAAAATCCAACCAAAATTCCCCCTCGAGGCCGTTTGGTCTTATCCCATCCTTCATTCCCTGGATTCTCCTTTCCTCCCGCAGCCATTCCCAATTTTTCCTCCTCTCTTCCAAGGCTTCCCATCCTCATCCTGCACGGCCTGGGCCAGCCAGGAATTCCAGCAGGGATTTCCGCAGGGAATCTGTGTTTGTGTATGGAATGAGGGTCGGGAATGGATCTGATGGATCCGATGGATCCAGGAATCAGCACTGGGAATTGATCCAGATGGATCTGGGAATGAGCCCTGGGAATGGCTCTGGAAGGATCCAATTGGATCTGGGAATCAGCCCTGGGAATGGATCCGGATGGATCCAATGGATCCAGGAATCAGCACTGGGAATTGATCCAGATGGATCTGGGAATGAGCCCTGGAAATGGCTCTGGAGGGATCCAGTTGGATCCAGGAATCAGCACTGGGAATTGATCCGGATGGATCCGGGAATCAGCCCTGGGAATGGCTCCAGATGGATCCAATGGATCCAGGAATCAGCACTGGGAATTGATCCGGGCGGATCTGGGAATCAGCACTGGGAATGGCTCCAGATGGATCCGATGGATCCAGGAATCAGCCCTGGGAATGGATCCGGATGGATCCAGGAATCAGCCCTAGGAACGGCTCTGGATGGATCTGGGAATCAGTCCTGGGAATGGCTTTGGAGGGATCCGGGAATCAGCCCTGGGAATGGCTCCAGATGGATCCAATGGATCCAGGAATCAGCCCTGGGAATGGATCCAGGTGGATCCAGGAATCAGCCCTAGGAACGGCTCTGGATGGATCCGGGAATCAGCCCTGGGAATGGATCCAGATGGATCTGAGGGATGTGGGAATCAGCACCAGGAATGGATCTGATGGATCTGGGAATCAGCCCTGGGAATGGCTCCAGATGGATCCAATGGATCCAGGAATCAGCCCTGGGAATTGATCCAGACGGATCTGGGAATCAGCCCTGGGAATGGCTCCGGATGAATCTGAGGGATGTGGGAATCAGCACTGGGAATTGATCCAGGCGGATCTGGGAATGAGCCCTGGGAATGGCTCTGGAGGGATCCAATTGGATCCAGGAATCAGCACTGGGAATGGCTCCGGATGGATCTGAGGGATGTGGGAATCAGCACCAGGAATGGATCTGATGGGTCTGGGAATCAGCCCTGGGAATCAGCCCCAGGAGCTGTTCCTGGTCCGGACGGATCCGGGAATCATCCCTGGAGCCGTTCCCGCTCCGCCGGCTCCAGCTGCGGAGCTGATTTGGGAACGGATCCGGCTTTGATTCCCATCATTATCCTGCCATTCCGGCTCTAATCAAGCATTCCTTGGAAAAAATAGCGGCAATCAAAGGGAAAGGGAAAGGGAGGGAACAAACGGAGCTGGGAAAACGTTCCCAAGGGATTTTCAGCCTCAGCAGAAATTCAGGATTGGGGGAAGGAAGGAGCTCGGGAATGGGATTTGCTGATCCAAAGGTTCCGGATCCTTCCCTTGATCCAAGATTTCCTCTCCCCTCCTCATTCCCATTTTCCTTCCCTACTCCCAAGGACCTGGATCCCACCCGGAGTGGCATTCCCACAGTGGGAATGGGTTTTCCATGGGCTGGAATTCCAGGATTTCTCAGCCCCCTCCCCCAGAATTCCCAGTCAAACCTTCCCAGAGCCGATCCCACCTGGAAAACTGGGATGAATCCCAGCACAATTCCTCATTCCCAAATTCCCAGCGCAGCATTCCCAGCACTTTTCCTTTATCCCAAGGAATTCCTGGCAGCTCCAGCAGAATTTACAAAGGAATGTGGCCCTGGAATGGCCCTTGAAGATGAAAAGCAGGAATATTGGGAATATTTCCAAGGGCCACATTCCCAAAAACTAGGATCAATCCCATCCAGATCCATTGGGATCCAGGGAATTCCAGCTCCTGGCACAGCCATGGGATAGGGAAAGCTGTTCCCGAATCCCACGGATCCCGGATTCCTCAGGGAGCAAATTCCAGGATGTTGGGAATACAGGGAGGATCCCGGGGGATGGGGGAGATCCAAAGGCTCCTGGATTCAGCAGATTCCCAGGAAATTCCCAATGGATATCCCTCAAATCCCAGCCGGCAAAGGCCAGAGGTCAGAAAATCCTGGAATGGCCGGAGCTGGGAAGGATCCAAAGGGATCAAAGCCAGGATTGTGCTGGAATGTTCCTTTTCCTGCTATTCCCTCTTTTCCATAACCTGGGAATGATGATGGGAGCATCCCAGGGAATAAAAGGAGGGAAAACCAAAAAAAAAAAAGCCGGAATGTTGAGCACATTCCATAGGAAAACCAGGGAGAAATTCCCTTTTCCTGCAATCTCCCAGCACCGGGATTCTGGAACTGCTGGATCCAGACAGGCAAATCCAGGGAATGCTGAGGGATCCAGGCGGGAAAAGCGGGAATGAGGCACCATTCCCAATGGGAAATCCCGGGAAAAGCCCATTTCCAGCTGGAATTGGGAATTCCCGTGCCTCGGGAATGCTGGGAGCACAGAACATCCTCAAATCCCTGCTCCAAACCAGGAAAGAGCCAAAATGTGGGAAAAGGATCGGGATTCCTGGGATCGCCCTTGGGAAAGGGATCCTGGAATGGTTTGGGTAGGAATGGTGCAGAAATCCCATCGAATTCCAAGGTCAGGGAAATTCCCACCATCCCAACCTTTCCTTGGACATTCCAGGGATCCAGGGGCAGCCCCAGCTGCTCTGGCAATTCCAGCCAGGAATTCCTCATTCCCAAAATCCCATCCATCCCTCTGGCATGGAGCCATTCCCTGTGTCCTGTCCCTGCAGGCCTTTCCCAAATTTCAGCTTTCCCGGAGCCCCTTCAGGCCCTGGAATGTGCTGGAAGCTCTCCCTGGATCCTTCCCTGCTCCAGGAGAAAACATTCCCGATTTTCCCAGCCCTGGCTCCAGCTCCTTCTCCCAGCGTTTATTCCCTCGGATGTTTCCCAGGCTTTTCCAGG